CTGAAAGGAATGTTGGAGAAAAACTGAGACCGCCATTTTTGCCGATGCATCCGTTACTTATGATATTTTTTGTAATCATATGAATTATGTGATCTTATGAAATTTATCAAGAAATCAAAGTCATACTGTGTACGTGTAGGTAAATTTTTCTAAATACTGCATTAAGTTTCAATCTTATTAGTCTCAAGTATGATTAAAAGATAGTTCATCGGATTATGTCGGTCCAGACAAATCAACGGGTCGGGTCGGGCCAGACCGTTGTGATTAATGTGTCGGTCCGGGCGGGCCCGTCTAGCTGGCGGGCCGCAACGGGTCGGGTCGGTCCATGAAAAATTGGACCGTTGCGACCCCTGCTAGCAACGAGGTTCGGCTACCGTTAGAAACAAGTGAATAGATAATAATCTAATTACAGATCTTATAAATAAATTAGAATTTCATTTAATTAATTTTGCACTAGCTTAGTGAGTTTCAAAGTTTATTTAGCCTTAATATATGAAAGATTTTTTTATGAGGTCCTTGTCATCGGAATCTGATGGAATCCGGTCAAATATATGCTGAAGCCCTTGGGAACCGGGATCATCCGGTAGTCCGGGTCGACCGGTTGCGATAATGTTCGGTTGTATTATTCGACAGGAAACGACCGAACCATTTTCCTTTGAACTCCGGTCCGGATTCCGGGAGCAGCAATTCCGGCGAAATCCCTGTCGGATCCTGGCAGATTTTAATGGGAAACATGCCGGCTTCTGGAGTGATCCGGTGCTGGTTCCGATGGGCTCCGGCAGGATCCGGAGGCAGGATCGAGTGTCTTGGATATGAGAAAGAGAAAGTTGTCGTCGATTTCAATTAGAAGAATATCATATTATTGTGATGACAAATAAAAATTATATATGGTGATGTACTGGTTAAAGTTGGATGTAAATAGTTTACAACAATTTTAATACTTGCTCTAATATCTTTCGGTTGAAAAAAAACAAATTTGAATAAAATATTCTTGTAGATAAAATCACAAATAACGTCTCGTTTAGGAATGTTTCAGATTGAAGCGCTACGTCATAAAGACGTGTTTTTTGTCATTAAGTAATTAATCATTAGAATACGCTAAGTACAGCGAAATTACGAAATAAATGCTGATATACTAATGAGTATCCGTCTGCTTTCAATCTTCACATACATATACGCACTGATGCACTTAAATCGAGGCTTTTTTCTTGTATTGCTATTTGTTTTTGATATTCATAATAATTAATTAGCATATCTGAAGAAAATCTCCCATTTTCCATCTAAATTAATAAATTGTTATAGTTATTTGTTTTCTGAATATCAAATTTATCTATTAAATTCGAAAATGATATTTGTTTCTGTTTAAATAAGATATTCTTCTTAATGTGTAAAATATTTTTAATAGCTCTATTTAAATATCAATTTGATAATATATAGTAATGAGAAAAAGTAACACTATCAAAAACGATTATCATATGAATAATATCATTAAAAATTCTGTAGTTGAACTAAAAGTCAATCAATCAATTAAACTCAAAATTATCAAAGTATATATGAATATGATTATTTCAATAAATTCTTTAGATGTATGTCATTTGTGTACATTCAATATCCACGACTATTTCATTACCAATCTTGAGAAATTTTCTTTTTTTTTAGCTGACAATTTCTCGTTTAAATGAAACTTAAGAAAAGAGTAGACCATCCTATGTTGAAACACGGACTGTTTTCAAATAAAATATTGAGAGGAACGCTCATCATTATATATTATCTTATTAGTTTGAGAAGAATTCGCCAAATTGTTACAATTCAAGCACATGAATATCGTATCTAAACTTTTTAACTAAGGGCATATTTAGTTTTTGTTAAAATTCTTTCAACATAAATATTTTATCATTTATAATCAGTTTTCATGTTCAATTTTGAAAAGATTTTATGTTTAGTGTAAATTTCTGTAAATTATTTCTCATTTTAATGAATCATTAATGATTAATGAATATTATTGACAACTATAATAGTTTCAATCAAATTACAGTTCTAATGTTAATTCTTCATTTAAATTAATAAAATAGAAGTGAAAAGAAATTATCTTTTCTAACTATTCAATATATTTATTCCCATATTTCTCATTCATTGAATTACGTATATTTATTTAATATAAACGATTTATTTTCTCGGCTATAACGAGAGTCACAGGTAATAGAATGATTTCGTCTTTGTATTAGTGAGCGCATGTACATTTATGTGTCCATATTTATTAAAGGTGATTTGTAAAGTTGCATTGGAAGTAATCAGAATTGAGGAACCCGAATTAGTTATACTTTGCCAAAGCTATATCTTCGATTTTTGTTATGAGAGACACTTGTTGCAATTTGAGAAGAATTCTTTGTTGTTAAAGTACACTTCGTTCGATTAATGATGTAGCTAAATGATAGTAAAATTCCGGCGTACATCAACGAACGACTCATTTCTGATATCAACAATTTACTTGCATTTTACTTGACAAGCAATCTGCATTAGAGTATAAGCTTTTTCTTTGAGATGATACTCGAAAAAACTCAATGGAAAATTTCAATATAATGTGGGAATAATGCTAGAACGTCAATGGAGCTCTTTAAGCTATAAATAGATTACAAAAATCGTTGGTTTAGAATTACTGAAAAAACATATCTTAAGGATTTTTGTTTTCATTGATCGAAAGGAAACTGAAGTGACATAAAATCATGATTGATATTCATATATAAGATATCGACTCACATGTAAATATCCATCATTCTATCCATATTTTCTAATATAGAAAACTGTCGCATTGTTTAGGACTACAAAGCAATATAGAGTATACTGCAAGAACTGAACATTCAATCTAGCGAACGATTCATTGTTTTCGAAACATATAAATATAAGTTTTTATATGATTTTAGCTGATTTTTTAATATTACCCGTTAGCTTTTTTCTATTAATTTCTTGTTTAATTTAAAATATAAATTATCAAATATCAGAATGAAAATCTCAAAAAATTATTTAAAAATAAAACTGCAAACTTCTCACTGACATCATTTTTTATTTAATTTTGTAATTGTTAAAATATCTTTTGAACAAATTTATTTATTCTTTTAATTTAATTTTCATTACGCGTTCAAATTATCACTATCGAAATTCTATCAAGATGATAACATTTTTAAGAAATATATTAAGGACTTTTTATTTTTAAATAAAAAATAAAACCCATCTATCATATTTCAGTAGAAATTTTAAGAATTTATTTAAAAAAATAAACTTCTATAGGAAACAACAGAAATAAAATTATGTTATTCAGAAAAAAAAACAAAGAAATATGAATAGGAAATTTTAAAGATAAAAAATTTATTTAAATAGTTTTCAATAGAAAGTTTCTTTGTTTCGTTTAACAAAATTTATTAATTTTACTTTGAATTTTTTACTTGAAATTATCATTAGAATTTATACAATGATTGGTATGCATATAAAAATAAATATGTTCAAGTCAATATTCCCTATAAAAATAATGATGAACAAATTTACTTGAGTATAAAAATCGATCAATATAATTTAATACTTACATTAAGAAATCAATATAATTCATTGACTTATTCAAAATAACTTTGAATTAAATTAAATTAAAAGAAAAGAAATTGTTTTTATCTTCTTGTTTCTAAAAAAAACCTTTCATTCGCTCATGAAAATCGATGAGAAACAAATCGTCGATAAATTTATAAAAGAAATTATTCATATAGAAATTGTAGGAATCGTCGATATTGTTCAAAATAATGTCATTGAGTAGATAACATGCATTATATATTTCTAAAGATTATTACATAAGAAAACGTCACATCGTATCTAAATAGAAAAGCAAACCGAAAAGAAAAATAAGAGAAAAAACTAAAAACAATACAAAATGATTAATATTGTTTTTTAAATGTACGCCATGTTTGACTTGGCGTATATTGCACACCTTTTCCAAATAATTGTACAACTTGCATTCCATTATTAAGATACTTCTTTTGCCAATTTTCATCCGTATTTATCATAAATCCTTCACATTGATTATCTGAATTACAATGTGATACAGCATCAACTATTGATAATATACAATTCATATCTTTATTATTATCGAATCTATTTCGGTGATTTGAACATAAATAAGATGAACTTTTTTCAACAACATTTGATTTACTAACAAATTCATAATTAAAATTTTCTGAATTATAGCATTTATCTTCATTTCTATTAATAAATAAATAAAAGTAGTATTAATAGAATTTATTGATTTAATCATACTAACGTATTTTCACATGTTGATTTCCCATAAAGAACAGGAGAACGACGAGTTTGATTTTGTTTTTCATAACTACTCCATTCTGTTAATAAACATGGTATAGATTTCTCACCGTGTTTAGATAAATGAACAGCAACTTGTCCATTTTTATCATACTTCTTATGAAACCATTCAGCTGTTGTCATTGTATATCCACCACAATTTGAATCAGAATTACAATGAGCAAGAGCATCGGAAAACAACATAATACACCATTCTGAGCCACCCATATTTGATTTATGATCAGTACATTTATATGTCGAACAATTATAGCATTCTCCATCACGAAGACGAAGATAATTAAAATATTTCCCATTTCTTTAAAGAAACATAAATAAATAAATAAATAAATAAATAAAATTTCTTCTTCATTATTACTTGTCATTTGAATGTTTGATAGGTTCATCTTTATTATCTATCATCATTGAAATTTTTATTTTGTCATCAGTTAATTCTTCAGCAATACTTGTCATTATCGAACAACACATTATTATTATCACAACAAATAATAAAACTAATATATTCGACTTCGAAATCATTTTTATTTTTTCTAACCAAATGAATATTCAGAAAAAAAAAACAAGACAACTAACCGCTAAAATATTTTGTCAATGATCAATAAGGAAATAATAAAATATCTACTGAATGACAGTTATGATGAGACTCACAACTATTTATAGAGATGAAAAGAAAAGAAAAGAAAAGAAATCAGAGAGAGAAAAGAGAAGATATGAGATAGATAAAAGAAAAGAGCTTAGTTAATCGTTCTGCGAAACATAGAATATATGAGAGAAATAACGAGACAACCAATATACGCATATATCTATCTTCTCATCGTTTATTCTTACTTGACCCCGAACTGTTTTAACCAATAAGATTTACTCTCAGCTATGCTGCTTCGATATTTATCAGGAGAAATAATCACTGATGTCTTAGGAAAATTCTCCAAGAAAAAGATATCTACTACTTTTTTTTCTTTTCTTTTTCCACATATGTAGAATAGGAAAGAAAAATAACCAAGAGAAAATATCCTTCAGAATATGTTCTGTTAGCACATATCGTCTCCTTTATGGTTAAAAACACTTGAAAATATAGATAAAGACATACGTACAAGATATATTCCAAACTTATATCTGTTCCATATAGCATTATTTCATGAGTTTCTATGCAAATATAATCATAAAAGATAATCGATCGAATTAATTATTAATAGAAGGGATTTATTTAACAAAATCAAATAGAAAAAAAAACACTCAACTCCTATGAAAGTATTTCACATTCGAGATAGAAAAACAAATGCTCTGCTCTGTTCTGAACTCGATTAATTTCTTGATTAAATAAATTTTGTATTCTATATTCTGCTATTGACGGAATATTTTCGTTGACAAATCTTGCTAAATACTTTTTGTTTTTCTATTAGTGATATAAGAAAGGTGTCGTTTTCTTCTTCTGTAAAATTGCATTTTTATGTTTCTTTCATTTGATGGAACAGTTGAGATTCGGAATCATTGAACGAATTCTTGTCTTGTGATACAAATAGAATATATTATCATTCAAGATTCTTTTTATAAAACAGATTAAAAATCTAAATAGTGAAATCGATAAAATAGTAATAGAAATATAATTGAGAAAAAAACGAAGAATATATTATATTATAGAATTGTTTTGGGCTTTATGTGATTTTTAATTTTCTATGTAAGTACGAATAAATGATAATAATGAATCATTGACAACAATTTTTTTTTCTTCAAATAAATTTCAATAATAAAATTTCTTAAGCAAATAAAGTAATTGAGAATTATTTTTAAAATTCGATTATAGAATAGAAATTGATTTCCACATAATCTATAGTACTCATTGAAATTGGAAATCTACAAAAATTCTTAGCTATAGTTCATAAAAAATCCGCTCGTTGTATATCCGAACTTAGCTCAGTTGGCAGAGCGGTAGGCTGTAATGGATGAATATCATAGAAACCTATAGGTCCCCAGTTCAAATCTGGGAGTTCGGATTCGTTTTTTTCTTATTCTTCCGTGAGAACGAATATTTCTTTTTTCTACATAAAATAATATAAAATCTGAAGTCTTTATTAATGCGATAAATTAAAATAAATTTGTTTGACTAGAAATAGAACATGTCAACTTTATAAAATGCTAGAAATGAAAGTAAACATTTATCTATATTCCAATCTATTATTCAACCGATCAAGCAACTTTAAAATATGATACTCAAAAGAATACACGTGAAAATGAAGATTTTTCTATATGATTATTTAAATTTTCAACTTCAAAAATAATTACAACTGGATAAAATTTTTATTGAAAAATTAAGTTTTAGTAAACAGCTAATTCAAAATGAAAAACTTATCTAGATTAAAAGTAATATTATTTTATTTAAAAGAGATGTTCATATTTAAGAAAAAAAGAAGGCTTAGTTTATCATAATAATAATAAAACGAATTTATTTTTGTTGAAGAATATCTTTACATTCTTGAACATCTCTGTCATCACAAAGAGCAGCAGCATCTTTCCCTTCCTTATTTTTAATAGTTACATCGGCATTAGCTGCAACAAGTGATTTAACAATTCGAGGTTTATTGAAAAAACAAGCAACCATTAATGGAGTATTTCCTCGTTGATCTTGAATATTAATATCTAAACCAGCTTTTATTAATAAATCAACACATTCTGGGCTATCAATCATTCCTTCAAAGAAACAAGAAATAATAATAATAATAATCATTTATAATAAAACAAACCAGCAGCAGCAAAATGCAAAATAGTTCCACCAGCTTCATTTTTAACATCAGTTTTGGTTTGTGGATAATCAAGTAATTTTTTCAAAATTTTATCTCGATTTTGTCTTGCAGCAATACTCAATGGTCTTTCACCCATAAAAACAACATTTGGATCAACATTAGCTTCAATTAATACATCTACACATTCTGAACGATCATTAATAACTGCTCTATATAGAAATAATAATTGAAAAGACAATCATACTATCGATATTTGATATCAAACTTGTGAATAGGTGTTAATTGATGTTTATCAGGATGATTGACATTGGCACCATTTTTAATCATTAATCGTATAAGTTGTGCACGTTCTGTTTCTGTTATTGTTTGTCCTTTATATGGACCATCAACAAGAACATGAATTGCTGTTAAATTATGTTCCCTTTCAGTTTCATTAGGATCAGCGCCATTCTAAAGAAATTCTTACATAAAACTTATTACTGCTATTATTATTATATTTACATCAAGTAAAAATTTAATTGTTTGATAATCTCCTTCAAAACATGCGATTATTAAGATTGTAACTTTTGCTCGGGTTTCACCAGTTTTGTCATCATAAATATCAATTAAACCACTGGCTGAACCTTTATCAATTGCTTGTTTTAATTTAGCTAATTTTTCTTGACTATTTGTATTTGATCTATCAATTGTCCAAAGTGCTTTTAAACGATCATCAAATTTATCATAAAATGGATGATTTTGACGACTAATATTGATAAAATAAATAAATATTTACATTAAATAATAAACAAACCTCATCGTATTGGCTAGTTATTGTCTCTTTAAATAAATTGGGATCAATAGAAAAATATGTGAAACTTATTCTCGATAAACATTTATTTATATAATAAGATAACTAATCAAAGAAAAACAAAATCATTGTTGCATGACAAAGATTTTATATTCGATAGACAAACCCGGTAAACCAAATATATTTATTCAATGAAGATCCAATGATTGCTTAGTATTTTTTCTCTCTATTTTTCATATTACTCATTTACTCGAATATAGTCATAATTATTCATTTATTTTTATTTCACCTTGAAAAATAGGCATATTTTTTATATTGACTGAGAAAATAACTATCAATATGATATTTATAGGAAAAGAAATAAATACAAATCTATTCTATGAGAGGCAAAACATAATTATATCAAATGACGATTTAATTTTTCGTCTTTTCATATTTATTAATGATTTGCAACGAGAAAATTTTTCTTTTTATCATATTGATCTACTCACATTAATAACAAATAAGCGTTGAACTCAATAGAATAGAAATTTGCACTTCTATACATCCGGATAACTCTTGCAGGTATATTATCAAAAATCGATTATGAAGAAGTAAGATAAATTATTATTTATTTCTATAGAATAAAGGAGAAAACAAAAGGGTGTGGGCGAATGTTAGCCTTTCCCTTCCCCACACCCACACCCTCAAGCTCAAGATATTCTTGAATATCCTGCATCATCAAATTCATTGATTTCTGATGCACGTTCAGGTGATATTTTTCAATTTCCTCTATCAAAGAAAATAAAATAAAATGATAAACTCGATTATCGTCAATCATCAACAGCTCGAATAATTAACAGTAGCTTTCAAGATGATAATACGAATCGTCCTCAATCAGCAATAAATCTTCCTATTTCAAGTGTAAGTTGAGCGAATAAAAGAAAATAAGCATAGCTGACTAGTCTTGATATCTCTCGCGCTCTCTCTCTGTATTCATTATTCTCTTTAAACAACTTCCTTTTTCTTTCCTCCACGTTTGATTACAAATCCCAGAATAATTCAAGAAATTTTTGTTGAGAAAATGGCCGAGAAGGAAGAGGTGCATACTTCCTTTATTTTTTTTCTTTACTAATAATAATATCTTCTTTTTTTTCAGAGTTTAAATGATAAGATTTCGATACAACTAAACGAACCTGCCATGAAATGGTACGGAAAGCTGATCGACAACGAATATTTAAGCGAAATGGCGAAAATTGTTGGCGGTGGAAAACATTAACTATTTCCTGATTCTTTTCTCTTCATCAAGTCTTATCTTTTTCTTTCTTTTTGTGAATCATCATTATTGATTTTTTGTGATCACTTGATATGAAAATAAACTCAACATTTCCAAAAAACAGTTATAAATTTTATATCAGATATGACTTGATTTCGAGCGAAGCTTATTACAAATCTTCAATGTCTCTTAAGATGAATATGATATAAAATAGGATTGACATGGTGATGTGCGCCTTTTCTATTATCTCGTTTTTTTTCTTGATTTTCAATGGATGAATTCTATTCGTTAGTTCTTTCTGAATAAACCCTTTTTATAAAAATGTTCATTCTTAGAATCTGATGAAATTTGATCAACTGCTGCTGGACCATTTCGACCATCAATAGAAAAAAATTGCCAAGTTATTAATGTTCAACACAATTGGAAATTGTCGATAAACTTGAACGAAATGCTGTTGGAAAAGTGAATAAAAAAGTATTGAATTCTAAAGTTTTACGTATATCTTATATATAAGAATAGTTGGTTTATTCTTATTCAAAGAAAACCTATCTTTTTCTTGTACACTGTCTCGAGATTGAAGATAAATAATTCAAAGTACACTGGATGTAATCTGATGAAATCATTTTGATTGGGACCTTCTTTTTATAGATGGCTTATGCTCGTATTGTTCTTTTTTCATTCAAAATCTTCTTTTCGATTATCGTCTACATCACGTCCTATTTATTACGAATCCGTTTTACAATATGCAAATAATATAGCATTACTTGATCATTCATCTTTGTATACATATAGTCAACTTTATTTACGTTAACGTCAACTTTCTCGTTGTCTTATTCCATTTAGCCAACAACAAAAATCAACTGACAATATTTCAAATAAACGTCATGCTCAAATTGGTATTTTATGTCCAAATGATGTTTCATTTAATGTTGCTATGTAGGCTTCAAGAGTGGTTGGTGCAATTGTGGTACCATTATCATCACATCATCCACCTGCATCACTTGCTTATTTTCTTATTGATGCATAATGTCGAGGAGCTATTGTAAGTGATGATCGTAGTAATGAATTAATTAAATCAACATAAACAAGCCCACAAGTACAATACTTCCAGATGAAAATATTAGTGATGATCTTTTATTATTAAGGACAACTATTGATTGAACTGAACGCTCAAATGCTTTAATTATACATACTACATATTTTACCTGTTCATCATGTTCATGGTCTTGTAAATGGACTTTTAACACCACTTTTATCGGTGCTACAGTTATCATGCGTCCATATGCGACGGAACGATTTTCCTCTAGGGTAGGCTCAATTTTCTAGCTAAATGAGATAGAGAAGCGGCAGGACTGCCATGATCATTCCAACTTTGAGAGGGGGCGGTGTAAAATATTTTTTCTTCAAGATGCTGTGCTCAAGGATGTCGCGAGAACCCAAAAATTGTCAGCGAGAGTGGCCAGTGTTACCAGATCCACCTGATTTCGAAACCTTTTCAGGATTCCCCACATTTTTCTCGTTTTTTATTGGTTTTTCTCAATGTTTTCGAAGGTTTTTGCAATTTTTCGGATTATTCAGAATTTTCAGATTTAAACTTCGGATTTTTGACTTTAGCATCTGGCATCACTGAGGATAATTGATAAAATCGTGCTTAAGGTAGTGTAAATTTCATTTTGTGAAATACAATGCAAGACAATTTTTTTAATATTGGGGGTGTTACATCCCAGTCACTTCTTCATCAACGCATTCTTGGGTAGCTGATCAAGAATCAACTTTCGCTACCTTTTTTCAATGTTGATTTCTTGGTAGATTTAAATTTTATGAAGCCCAATGAATATCTTGTCGACTTCCAGTTCGTATTGGTGCTACAGAAAATATGAGCTAACTTTGCAATAATACGTCATATGTTACTGGCATTGTAAGTCATAATTGAAAACTAAACAATAATGAAAGACTTAGATATAATTGAGCCTACTCAAGCCTACCCTATTCCAGACTAGGGTAGGCTCAAGTTTCGTGAGCCTATGCATGCGTCCTCAATTTGATGCATCAAATGTTATAGACAATTATTGTGTAAATTCATTTTTTTAATTTTATTTAGACATGGGAACATTTATTTCAACCAGGTTTTGAACGACATGTAACAGTTCTTGCAGCTGTACCAATAATATATTTAAAGCTTATACTTGACGATGAAAGAAAATTAGCACGACATCCTCAAACAAAAGAATTTGTTCGTGAACAATGTTCGCAAACGACTCGTTTAATGATGTGTGATTCAGCTTCATTACCTGAAAGTATTCGTCGACGATAGTATGAAATAACTGGTCATCATCTTCTTGAACGTTATGGAATAACTGAATGTGGTCTAGCATTAACAAATCCATCAAAAGGAGAAAGAATTCCAGGTTTCGATTTAAAAAGGATTGTGTTTTAATGATAATTAATTCTAATTATATACTGTTGGTCAACCAATGCCTGGCATCATCTATGAGTTATGAAACACTAGTAGAAGCTGATAGTGATAATACAAAAGTTGAAATACAAAGTAAATTTCTTTGAAAATAGACAAGAACTTATTAATTATCAATGATTATTAAGATATAGATGAACCTGTTGAAGGTGAACTTCTAATTCAAAGTCCAACTTTATTTAAAGAATATTGGCGAAAACGTAATGAAACACATGCAACATTTACAATTGATGATAGATTTTTAAAAACAGATGATATATGTCGTTATGATTCTGAAAAAAATATTTTCAATTCGTGACAGACAATCAATGGATATTATTAAACGTTCTGGTCATAGAATATCTGCATTAGATATTGAACGTATTTTATTAGAACCAGAGCTCGGACAAGTACAAGTATAGTAAGTAAAAGTATTTCACTTTTACTCGAAAAAGAAAGTTTGTACTTTTACTTATGCTGCAAAGCAAGTACTGCTATATGTACTTGCCTATGCACAAGTATACTTGCTTTTGTACTTGTACCTGAAAAAAAAGTATTTGTACTTGCACTTGCCTCTAATAAATTCGTTAGAATACTTGTACTTAAATAAATACGCTTGTACTTATACTTGTACTTGCATTTATACTTCTACTTGGGTTTGTACTTATCCTTTGACAGTTGTGTTGTTATGCCTTTTGCCGTGGAGCACCTATGCACGATTCTATTCTTTAGTTTTATAACAAAAAATTACTTTAACCTATACGCATCATCATATGCATCATGTTATCTATCTAAGAAAGTAATGGATATAAGCATATTTATGCTTTTCTGTCTTTCAAATGTATTTGCAAGTCTTTCTAGGTGTTTGTAAAAATCATCTTCACGTATTTCTCAAAGAGAATAAAATATATAGACAGGTAAAAATATGTGAAAATATTTGAGAATACATCGGCAACACATAGTAAATATATATAGAAATGCATAAAAATACAAATATAATGCTTTTTATTTCCCGTTCTGTCACCTCCAATAACCTTAAGGAAAATGTTGTAGCATCATCAGTTCCAAGTTTAAGAAAAAACAGTGGTATTAAAATCCTAACTTCCTTTTCTTTCATAGCGAGATTCGTCAAACACTGTTTGTTTCAATTGTTATGGTTTCTTCAAGCTCGTACATTATACTGATAAATTACAATGCAAATAAGAATTGTTGTAGTGTATTAGAAAACTCATCTATAAACATCAAGTATAATTTAGGTCGATTATCGCATCCAAAATTCACAAACACTAGCACATGATGCTACAGTGAATTTTTAAAACGCTACCGACATGATTATTTTTTAATGCTGATTCTTAAATTTTGGCAAAGAATTTTCAGTGAAAAATGTTTTTAAATACGTATGTGCAAGTGAAAAATGTTTTTGAATACGTATGTGTATAATGATTATTTCTTTGAAAGTAGGATTTACATGATTTAATTCATCCTGAGAATATTGAACTTATAGAAACAACTTATCAGATCTACTTTGACTATGCTGAAATTTCAAAAGCTTGACTATACTGCGCACGTAAATTACCTTTTCGCAAAAGTTTATGGTCAAATAAATTTTTTTTCTATATAAACATATCATTTTATTCTAACTCGATTTATTTTCTTGTTCATAAATCACGTCCAAAATATCACGATTATACGTAAATAAATTTCACAAAATGAATAATCATGTATAGTTAAAGCTTATCACAGTAACCTTGTTTATTGAAAGCCAAAATGTTAAATAAACAATTAATCAATGGATAAAAAAAGATAACCTCATATACTGACCATATGAATTTCAACCTTTCCTTCGAAATACCGTTTCATATAAGTATTGAGCTCGAAAACAAAATTACGTAACAAAAAACTTTTTAAAGTAAATATATTAAGTACAAGTACAAGTATAATACACGTACAAGTACCAAGTGTAGTACTTATGCTGAAAGTACAAGTATTAGTACTTGGTACTTGCTCAAGTAACAGGTACTAATGCAAGTACTAAGTATATATTTTGAAGTACAAGTACGAGTACCAAATCCATCTGATGAGTACTTATACTTGTACTTGAATTTTGTACCAAGTATTTGTTACTTGTACTTATACTCGAAAAAGTACAAAAAGTACGAGTACAAATACTTTCGTCCGAGCTCTGGGCGGAACAAATGATTTAGCTTATAGGAAATCAGCTCAAATAATATTTAGTCAAGGCTTAAAAGTCATGTATGATATGGTTCTCCAAAGAACAAATCAAGATACAAAATTATCCGTGATGACTGTTATTGAAAATGGTTATTATTCACCTGACAGTAATTATGATCAACAAAGACAAATTTTAAATGAAATGATTAGAAACTACGCTGAAAATCATCACGATCAAAATAGAATATGTCTTGTTGATCTTGATAAAAATATTAAGTATCATAGTATTGAAGATGTAAATCAAAGAAACATTATTTGGGATGATTTTGTTCATCTAACAGCAGATGGCTATGATCAAATGGCTAAAATTATTTTTCAAGAAATTTATAAAAATATAAACTAATAATGATAAAATGGCAATGTTTTCGACTCTGTCTCATCTTGCCATTTGGGTTCTCTTTGATCTTTGCTCATGATTTCTTAAATCTAAAAAGAGATAACAAAACTGTTAGCTATTTTCATGATTATCCATATAGAATAATATGTTGCGGACATGGATCAGTTTAAATAAAATCGATAAGATAATTTAAATGAAACTTATCGATGTATTTACTGATCATTGTCTAATCATCAATTTTTTTCTATGGGCAATTCATTTTGAAAAGGCATGAAAACGAAATCTGCATAGAATAGATGAATGGGAAACACTCAACGTTGTTTTTTTTTATTGCGTAAACATATAACTGTTGGTAGTTATAAATATTGATAACTTGTGAAGATTTCTTATTATTCTATTTTATGCCAATTTTTTATTTCTATCAAATAGAATTATGATTTATTTTCGTTCCATTAATTTTTATTAGAGTATTTTTATAAGAGCTTAATATTAAAGAATAAATATTATATGTTTGTCGCAGTAGAACTAAATAGATCCAGTTTGATAATTCTTTAGAAAATTATATTTTTATAAGACGTGCCCTGTTGACTCTTTTGGTTGTAGTCTAAAGCATTGATTTTGTTCTTTTATCCATTTTGAAAGAAATTTTCTTAAGAAATCTTGTGGTTATTCTTAGACTTTTTTGTGATAAATACTATTTGAAGTTTTTGAGAAGCAAGAATCATACACTGCATTCGGGACTTGTAACTAAGTTAAATCCAGTTCAGTCTCTAATTGAAAAGTAGTAGTGATTCTCTAGAAAAACTAATCCCGATGAAAAGAGAGATACTTCAAATTAGAACTAAAAGGCAAAAGGCGATCTCATTTTAAAGATCGCATCGATAATGTATATTTATTGATTATAGAAGACTTCAATGGTTTGATTGGATGATTAAAATGAGAAAATTTCTTCCACACTGCAAAAAAATGTAATAAAACTACCAAAGCAAAATTTGATATCTTTTGTTTTTTCTATACATTGATAATTGATTGTTTTAAATGTTAATAAAAAAATGAAGAAAGGTTAGATGAATTTTTTCTTGTTTTTAATAAATTTGATATTTTTGATCAATTATTAGTTGCGAATTTTATTTTTATTATCAAAGTAAATCCTTATAAAAGTTCTTTTCAAGATCAAACTAAATTAGATTAATGACTCGAAGAAAAACGTCAAGTAAAACCAATGCAATAAATTTTGAAAAGGCTTAACTCATCATACTGGAGATTAAGTGAAGAAAAAAGATCGTTGCATTTAAACGACGTATTATCAAACATTTCAAATATGCATTTTTGTTTTCATTGAATACTGTTGACGCTCAAGAAAAAAAGAAACTTTGAAATAATTATGTTTGATGAAAACATTTTGTAAAATTATTTGTAAACTGACAAATAACAAATCTATTCCATATAGATTTATCAGAGAGTAATTCAATATATTTCGTTTCGTTTATTGTTGAATGATTGAATTATCATATAAAAATAATGATAATATGATTTTGTTTTTGTAAATAATGTTTTCATCTTTACGTGATTTATGGAAAATGTTTTTGGTATGCGCACATAGACCGAACGTGAACAATATCAAAAGCTTGTTACTCTATATAATTATTTAGGTGTTTTAAAACAAGGGAAAACAAATAAGCTTCATCTCATTTTTAGACATACACTAAAAGAAAATGAAAAAAATTATTTTTTTTAGGTTTTGCAATTTACTGATTAATTTTGAAAACACTTGTTAACCTATATTTTTATTCGTTTATTCAATCATTTCCCTTTTTTTCTTTCTTCAACTAAACCCCTACACAGAATAGAAGTCCATCCCCTGAGTTAGATTTCTCCGTTGAAAATCAAAGTTTGCTTCATGTACAATTAACTAAAAACGATGAAAAATGAAAGGATGAACATTTTTCTATCAAATAACGCAAAAACTGGCATCAGGGCATGCTTTGCTACAAAATTATAGCTTGCGGAACAGAGACGCCACCCATGGACTTCTATTCTGTAGGGGAGTTTAATGTTAAGAAAAAGAAAGACGAGATCCCGTTTGTCTCTTAGCTCTTTAATGATCTTGAGCTTTATTGATTCTATTATGAAGAGGCATCTGTTTTTATCTGTTAACAATTTTATCTTTTGCTGTTGTGTTACTGTCATGCCGTCTAATCCATATTGATCAGATTTATTATGAATGCAATTGAAATATATTTTCTTCATGTCATTTATCAATACTGATCTATGTAAATATTCTTCAGAATTAGTATGCGTGATCAATATGCTAGTGGCCTTTCTAAAATGACTGGAAAAAAAAGAAAGGACAAATACTCGACGTCCAATCAATATTTTTTAATGAAAAAATGGAAATAAAACAGAAAAACATCAGGGTTAGTACTTAATAAACAATAGAAATAAAATGGAAACTATATTGTGTATTTTTAATAATTATTTTCTTACTACTTTTGGATTTTATTGGAAAATAAATTTGAGTGAGATTTGTCTTATGCGAAGATAGCTTTATTGCGTTATAACATAATAAAGAAAAAAATAAGATATTTTTATTATCCAAGTAAGTTAATATTAAATTAATACTCTTATTTTCAGTTTTATTTAAAATAAAGTTAATTAATAATATGCGTATCTCTTTAGGCTTTTCTGCGTGACTTAACAGAAAAAGTAGTATTGTTTATACTCGATTGGAAAAATTTCTTTTCAAAATTTATTAATCGATTTTAATCATTTTCAACGAATATTTGCTTTGAAAAAAAATGTAATCATTGAATAACTTATAGAATAATGTTTAAGAATATTCAGATGAATTCAGAAGATTTTTCTTCTAATGATTTTATTGAAAATAAACTTCTCTAAGATATTTCGAACTTTCTCGGATATGATTATATTCTTATTTTTTTATCTAATATAAGAGCGATAAATGATGCAAGAAAAAAAGATTAATTAGGCAGAAGATGACTATTTTATCAAACTTGATGCTTTACTGAATAGAAAATAAAAATATCAATCTTCTATTTCATATATCGTCATAAGACATATATATATATATATAATTTTATGTTTATTTAATACATTCAGAATACTGTAACACTCTAGACAAAGAAAAAAGAAAATGAATTTCAATATATAAAGTTACTGAAACGTTTTCTTGTCATCCAGAAACTTGATTTTTCATTGTTGTCATTATGAATAAGATCGAATTAACTAGAAAATAGGTAGTCATCAGATATTTGTATGATATATTAAATGAAATACAGATCAATAATTTTAGAGAAAACTATGTGAATAACGAGTAAAACAAATTTGAAAAAGGTCATCATATTTTATATAACATTTATGCATTGAAGAAATATAGACAATGATTGACGAGAAGAAAAAAACAATGGAATCCATTCAATTACTTGTAAGTATCATATTGACTAGTAGATATTTCTAATTAAGTACATGTTTTCATATTTCTAGACAATCCATTTCAGAAATATATTGACATTTTAGTTTGTTTTTTCAACTTTTTATCTAACTGATCAATATCAAACAAGAATGATTAGATTTTCGTATAATTATCGAGATTTATTACAAATCTTTTTTTTTCTTCTCCGGAGAACAATAATAAAAACAACAAAAAAAGGATATAAATTGATATATAAGAGACTGATATATTCTATTCGAAACGAGATTCGGGTTTTATTATTTTTGATTATGAATATTATTTTACATATGAGTCGACATGACACAAACAAAATACTTTTTTTCTACGTTATCATGACTTAAACATCTTCAGGGCATGAAAAAATTACTGACTTTTACAAATAGTCTCAAATAAAAAATTTAATCAAGTCTTTCTTTTTTTCCTTCTAGGAATTATTTAAGTTAAATTAGATGATCAATCATACGCGGTTTCTTTCTCTAAGATAGCTTTTGAAAGTATAGTTTGTATTATCTTGGACTAGAATATTAATCATCTTCATGATCTTACTTAATACAAATCGTTCGAAGAATCATTTCTGATACTAATTTTATCTATTCGAAATCTTCATCATAGAAAATAACCTATTGCATTAACTTTTTATTATATTTTCGACTAATTAAAATCTTTTTATATAGTATGATTAAAAGTAAATCATTTGCAACTAATTCATTGATTTGCTTAAAAGAAACATTTTCTGTTTTTTTTAGAGAAACTTTTGTGTAATACTGATTCCTAGAAGACATTTTTGCATTTATATGAATTTAATTTTTTATGAATATCCATGTTAAGAAATAATTTATTTTGATAAGTCCTATGAAACTAACTTTATCAGCTCTATCAAATTAAAAATTATTCTTTAAAAATTTTCTTGATTGAATAAAATTTACATCAATTAATGATGAAGTGTGAAGTTGAAATCTACTTTTATTTTATGTATTGACTATGTTCCTGTAGTCAACTGGATAAACAAAGTTAATCAATAGAAACAATTATTAATAATTGATTTTAATATTTCTTAAGTAAAACAGTCAGTTTTCCAATGAAAAATAATTTTAAGAAGTCTTTTCAAATAAATAGACTGTGCATGACTAATGATATAGGCTTTGAATTATTTTCAAGAAAAAAACACGATTAGCGTAATTTTTAACAGTTCAAACACAAATCGAAATAATTTTTATTCTCGTCAAGTAGATGGTCACGGCATTAATTAAATATTCATGTATATAGAAATGATTATTATTATCATCGTGAGTTGTCATTATTCGATATATTTAATTTACGCACTAAAATTTATACAGAAAACAAAACGTTTTGTTAACATTTGTTTTTGAGTACTCGTATGAATAAACGAGAATTTAAATAAAAAACAATTTGCAAACTGAGTTAAATATTTTTTGTTTTTCCATCCAATAAAATTTATTGTTTTGAAAGATCACTGTACAACTTGTTTCTTAATATATATTCTATAAATTTTACAAAAATTTCAGCAATCAACATAACTATTTTATTTTAGATAAATCATTAAAAAGATGTAATAATGAATAAAAGTGAAAATAAAGTATATCTTCCAATAAATATAAATGTAAATTATCTTTTAACATGCTTATTTATTTTAATTGCATTAATTGGTATATTGGGTAACATATTAGTAATAATATCAGTACAAATTGATACTCATATGAGACGATCATTAACGAATCGTCTTATTGTTCATGTTGCTTGCTGCGATTTAATAATATTATTATTTAATATTCCTGATATAATACAATTTGTATCATCAACAAATGGAAATTGGATTCTCAGTGAAATAGCTTGTAAATTAATTCGATCGATTCTTGTTTTAGCTCAATATTCATCTGTATTAACAATGTGCGCTGTCACTATTGAAAGATTTATTGGTATTGTTTATCCACTGCGTTCGAAATTTCTACGTGAAAAAATATATTTTACTCAAATAACATTTTTTGTCTGGTGTTTTTCATTATTATGTACATCACCAAATCTTATTTATTTGCGTGTTATATCAATATCTTCATCGCGTTGTTCATGTCTTCTTCAATATTCTCGTAAAAATCAATCAGAAAATCAAATGAAATATATTATTCATAAATCAATTGAGTCAACTATTTTTTATTTTATTCCACTTTTATTACAATTATTTTGCTATATAAGAATCGCTAGACAATTATCCAATGTTGATCATACACTTCAAAATTCATTTAATCTAATTAAAAAACACAATAGTCAAAGAACACAGGTTATATTTTCCGCAGTTTTGACAAAATAAATAATTAATAAAAATTTTCGATTTAATTCTAATCTATATAGGATGATATTGATGATGAAGAGGATTTTATTGGTAATGATGAAAATATGGGCAGTAAAATAACAATAGCCAATTCATTTGTAAACTCCTCAAACGGTCGTCATGATCATAATTGTCGACAAGGAAATCGTTTTTTTGTAAAATATCTTTCTGTTAATAATAAATTTTCATTATCAACATTAAAATCTCGTCATGAAACAAACGATGTTTATCAATCGAATGTTACTTATAAAGCATTAAAATCTCGTCGAGGTGTTATTAAAATGTTGAGTGTTGTTGTTCTTATATATTTTACATCATTTAGTCCTCAAGTTCTTGTTTTTATTTTATTTGATACAAATGCAATTCGATCTGTTCCACAATTTATTCAAACACCTTATTTTATGGCTTTTACAATGCTTTTAGTGACAATTAGTTCAGCATCAAATCCAATTGTTTATTCAATATTTTGTTCTAAGTTTCGACAAAATTTTGCAAGAATTTTTCGAAGATTATTCTTTTGTCATCGAAAAAATTTTATTTAAAATTCAAATAGAAAAAAGAAACAGGATCATTACAACAACAAACGTCGAAAAGTACTGGACACCTTTCTCGAAATATAGCCAATAGTTAAACTCAAGACATTTTAATTAGAAATACGAAGAATCTATATTCATAACAACTTCTTTTCTTTTTCAATGAAATAAAATTTTTAGCATCTGATGAAAAAATCGTTTCATATTCTGTATCGATTTCAAATAATTGATAATACATGTCTATTCAGAATTAAAATATTAATGTGTCAATCAAGGAGAAGGAAATATATTAGATAGTAAAGCAAATGTTAAAAAATATTTCATAGATATGATTATTTTAAAGTGGAATTATTATAGTAAAAATAATGAATGAAGTAATGGATTTGGCGATTTTGAATGTTATACGAGATCTCAATTACGAACACAAAATTATCAAAAAAATTTAAAAAAGAAGGGTGGGGTGGGTATGAGTGCGTGGTAATACGCACAACCTAGGTAACGTAAGTCTCTTTTGCCATAAGTAAAACCAATAAATACAGCAGATATTTTCAAATAGTAGGAAAACAGAGTGATGTATCTGTTGGAGGGGAAATTAAAATTCAGGGCAATTTAAATTTTCCCTAAGGGAAATTTTAATTTTAATCTCGCCTAGGACAAATTAAAATTTTTTGTATTTTTTATATAATTTTCGATTTTTCTGAAATAGGTAAAAATGAATGTTGAAATGATAATTCATTGACTCATTTCTTTCCGCCCAACCTATCGTCGAGAGTAGAAACCAAAATTAGAAACTATAAAGAAAACTCTGATTCTTTTCATTTTATTAGCGAGTAAGTTAATACGAAACATTCGATCTTCTCAAAGCAAAAGGAATTCCATGAACAAGCCGGAAAAAATGTGTTGATACTCAAAGTTAATAGATTTATCTTCAACGATTTGTTATTAATAAAGGTTTTAGTTTGTTTTCAAATAAGTTTCGCTCACAAACTACCGTCTCGTATCGTCGAAATAGGAAAGACAATTCGGATTCACATATCTTGGAACACATATTTTGTTCGTTTGACTTAAAAACATGATGAAATTTTTTACACATGCATTTAATTTCTATTCTTCAGAACAACTGTTTATTATTTACTATCTATATAATGTAATGAATGTCTTGGAAAACTAACGATAATTTTCTAGACTACTAAAGTAAAAATCTAAAAAGAGAACCGAAATCAGCCAAATAACTATCTACATAAATATAATTAAAATACGAAGATGGAAATTTTTTCTAAGATCTTTGTTATTAACTACTGAGGATAAATGCATTACACATCATAAATTGTCCATTGGATATATTCTATTATAATTGTTTACTTAAAAAGGAAATTTTAATATTTTCGTTTTTTTCAAAATTTCTTTTCTTGTCAATTTTTCGTTTTGTGTCAATGTTAAAATCTGATCAGCAACTTTGCTGTTATTATTTATTGAGAAACATCTTAAGATGTTATGCACAAAAAAACAGACCGTAAATGTGTGCATGCATACTTTTTTTTGTTTCTTTATTTTTTTCAATGTCAAAAAATACGCAAATTTTTTTTATAACGAAACACCATTTTTTTCTCTATCAACTATAGCACGTCCATGTTTTTTCGACATTCATCCTCAATATCATCCAGGTTTGCATTGTCTTAGTTTTTACATATTTAGTATAAGTATGTAAAAGTATATTATAATATAGCCCATTCGACGAGTCAATCAATTTACGATTACGAATATTACTATATAGAAGTTTATTGATTCCTGATTATGTACGACAAAATGGTGTAGTATGTAAATAAAATCTTTTTTTTATCATTAATACTTTTGAGATAATTAATTAAATGGCATATTCGAATATTTATCTCATAAGTTGTATCATAACGAAAATTTGCTTGCTGATTCAAATTATAAAAACCGAAAATTTGGAAAACATCGTATCAACAACACAAATGTAGCACGGTAAAAAGATATGAAATAATTTTTCATCTAAAGATACCTCATCCTCATAGACACTTGAATATCGAAGGCTCTCAACATTCATTTGAAAATATGATTTCTCGATATGACGATTCATCGTCTGACGACAGAGTATGCCACCGTTCATTAAGTTTTTTATAAGAATTATAAGAATGAATATAGACAATCGATGTGAAATTTCGTCATTCACGAAGCACTCAACTATATACCGATAGAAAACTAATTTCTCCTGTAACAGTAAGATTCGATAAAAAGAACAAATAAATTCATTTTATTTTATTTTATTTTATACTTCATAGTTCAGACGAAGGTCTCAGTATAAGTCATTTGATCGTAATCCACGAGTAAGTTTTTTTCTGGTTTGATCAATAAAAATATTGGCACATTCTTTTTCCTTGGTATCCAAATCTAGAGAAATCGATTTTGTTATTCTCCCATTGATATTTATCAAGCATGTGAAGTCATGATGGTCTATAGAAATGATTTATTAACATCCGATGAAACTGATCAAATCGTAATAAAACAAAAACAAAACAGTAATAATGATGATCAAACAGTAATTGTTTATAAAGGTTGTTTAAAGAACTATGGTAAATTAGACTTTTTATTTTATAAATTTTGAAGAATCTTAATTGATAATGAATTCTATTTTTATAAGATACTTTTTCATTTAAATCTCAACATCCTATTGAATGTCCTTTCAATGTACTATTTTACATCAATGGAAATACTGATGTGCATTTTTCAACCTGTTGTGAATATAAACATCGTCAAGGGGGATTTTTTCTTGGTCAATCATTCGTTATTGAACATATCGTAAAGTCGACTCCTTGTCAAAAGTAATTCAACAATATGCTTTCTAATATTTGATTGCTTCATATTTTAAACAAATTAGATGTCGACGACGAGAAGAAAAAGATAATAAACAGGTAACTAGAAAAATGAATCGTTTTTGAAACTTACTTTTTCTTTTAAGACCATTTCATTGAATTCATTTGATAAACAAAAAGTTTCTCCGGATCGTCGATCTCACAAAAGTAGACAGAAACTAATATCAATAGGAAAAACAATAAATGATGAAAAACAAAAACAAGAGAAAAATAAATCAAATTATATTCAATCAGAGAATATTCATATTCAGTCAATTAACGTAAGTTTTTATTTTTATAAATCAAATTAATTTAGATTTCAATGCAAATTTAAGTCAACGGATAATCAAAATCGAAACCATCAAGGTACATATATTAATAAATTGTTGAATGATTATTTTCTAAGAATAATTTTTAGAAACTTCAAAAGAGAAAACGAAAAAAATTTCATTATCATCCTCATCATCGCCATCATCATTATCAACAGAAATGAAAGAAAATTTATCTTCTCAAGAAGAATTTATTACGCCAAAGCATGAGATTATAAAATCAAAAGGTAGTTTCAAATTTGTTTATTTTTTGTTTCGGTTTGTTTTATATTTGAGTTTGATCAAAACTAGAACATGAAGATGATACTGAAAGTGAATTCAATCAAAAATTAAGAGAAAAAACAATGGTTGATAATGATAATAGTGGAAATTTTTTTCAAGCATTATTATCTATTCTTCAAAGTGGTACGTTATTTATTTGAGTAAAAATGCAATTGATTTTTTTTCAAAGGTCTTCGTCGAATGGACCTACATAAATCAGTAACTCCACGATGCGAAGGAAATGTTGAAAATTTTCTTGTTATTCTTTTTGGTATTAAAGATCAATCAAATTGGAATCGTTCGATTGTAAATTTTATTAAAATATTTGATAGTATTAAAGAATTAAATTCGTTTATTGATACATTAACATATGAAAGAATTATTTTAATTGTTAGTGATTCATTGGCAGAATCCATTGATAATCTATCTCGATTCAATTCCATATATCTTCTTTCAAGTAATGTCACACGAACAACCAATCATTTGAATATACATGGAAATTTTCCGAATCTTAAATCAATTTTTGAAAAAATCAACGAAGAATGTGAAATAGAAAATGATTTTTTTTCCATACAATTTTCATCGACTAATGAAATTCGAAATCAATCATTTTGTTATTCACAACTATTGAAAGAAACTCTTCTTAAAAATGATAATGAATCAAATTTAAAAAAAGATTTCCTCGATTTTTCTCGATTTCATTATAACGGTAATTATATCGAATCAACTCTAATTAATGAATTTGAACAAGATTTTACAATAGAAAAATCAATATGGTGGTATACAAGAAATAGTTTTATTCGTAAAATGCTTAATCGTGCTTTACGTACAGAAGAAATTGATATTCTCTATAAAACAAGATGGTTTATACAAGTGCTTAATCGTCAAATTAAAGAAAATAACTTTTCAGCAACTGTTTATCGTGTTCATCATTATTCTTCTGATCAATTTAAAAAATTCAAAGAACATAACTTAAATAATTTCATTTCATTTAATACTTTTCTTGATTGTACACTTAATCAACCTTCTACTTTTGAAAATATTCCAGGTATGGAAACAATTTTATTTCGAATCAAAACAACAATTGGTATCAAAACTGAACAACTTCGTTATTTTGAATCAAAAACAGACGTTTTACTTCCTTTTGATAATATTTACCGTATTTCATCGATAGAAGAAATGTTGGATGATAATAATCATTGGTGGAATATTAATTTAACAAACATGAACAAAGATAATGAGCAATGGAACGAATTAATAAAAGAAATGCATGAAGAAATTGACGGTCCTATTGTATTAATTCAATTAGGAAAACTTTTGTTATTAAATAATGATTATTCTCATGCTGATTATTTAGCACGTTTATTATTTTATGATGGTTCATTAAAAGATAATTCAACATTGTTAGCTTCATTGGCTGCACTTCATCATCTACTTGGTTCTTTTGACAATCGACAATGCAATTATCAACCTGCTCGTCTTCAATTCGAACAATCATTGAAAATATTTTTAACTTTTATTCCAGAAGATAATCAAATACTTTCAGCTACATATAACAACATTGGAAGTATGTTTTATCAAGAAGATCAGCATGAACAAGCAATTATTTTTCATCAAAAAGCTCTTCAATGTCAATTAAAATCATCGTCGCCTGATATGGAAGCAATAGCGACATACTCAGGAAATGTCGGAGCTGTTTATCTCGATCAAGGTAAATATGATCAAGCATTGTTATATTACAAACGTTCGCTTCAAATTCTTCTTCAATCAGTATCCAATGGAGAATCACAATCAATTGCATTAGTTTATGACCGAATAGCTTCAGTCTATTGGAGAATGGACAAACCAACTGAAGCACTTCCATTTTATCAAAAAACACTTCAATTAGAACTAAAATATCTTCAAGGCGATGATCATAAAATATCTGTTTCATATTTTAATTTATCAACAGCCTATGCTAAATTGAATCGATTAGATGATGCAATTGATTGTGCTGAGAAATCTGTTCAACAATTACTGAAATGTGTATCACTTGATCATTCAGAAGTCAAAGAAAATACGGATCAATTAGAAGGATTGAGACGCAGAAAATGGCTTCAACAACTCTATGAATAAATCATTTTTCTTTCTTATTTTCTTATCTGGTTGCGTTTTAATTAGGAACAGAGAAACAAAAACAAGAATGAGTCGTTTTTACATCTCGAATATTTGTTTGAAGAAAAACTTTAATTGAATTCTGTCTCGTGTAAAATATACGACTAATATAGAATTTGTCTTTTTCTTGACAAAGATTCACAGAAGCGACAATCATTTGAACACCAACTAAATCATCTGTCGCTATATTTTTTCTGAATTTATTAACTTTTGTCAGCAACATCGAAACCTGTTCATAACCAACTGAAATCGTACATATACATTATTGAGTAGTTGTATAATTCGAGTTCGAATATAAATGAAGACAAAAAAAAGTTAATCTAAAACTAAATCTGGGAATAAATTTAGTTTTAGTTTAACTTTCCGATATATGCGACATATGAATATATATATATATACCCCACACCCACACCCATATTTGAACATACCTCCATGGTATCCATTGTCCACCCTCACATTTGAAGTACCCCCGCACCCCTTTGGGGTACCCTTCACCCGCACCCACATTTGAGCACACCGCCATGGTATTCATTACCCACATCCACATTTTAAGCAATCCAGGTATCCTCCACACTCCTTCCGGGTACCCCTCCTACCCACCCCTCACTTGCACCGCCACCCACAGTTACCCCTTAGCCTCCCTCTGAACCCATACCCACTCCATCTTACACTAAATCTATTTCTATCACTTATTTTCGAATTGATACCATGCAGTTGGATATCCATTTATATTCGAATTCGAGCTAGATATCTCATGGAATTATATCGAGTTCTCAAGAAGAAGCTTCACATTATTACGAAAACACTGATTTCTTCTATTACTAATCTAGTAAATCGCCAGGCAAACGATTGGCTAGATCAATGATCAAGATTTCTTAGAAATTCAAATTTTACGTTGTAAAATTTAGCACAAATTTTCATTTATCTTTCATAAGCAAAAAAACTCGGTACGTTTGATATTTATCTCCCAGCTTTCATACAATTGAGCATCAGTTTAACCAAAAAAAATGCAGTCTACTGGACCGAAATGGTTGCAACTTGCAAGTCATATCAAAACAAATGTTTTTATAGTAAGGAACCCATTGTGGACACAAATAACTTAGTCAGAAAAGATTTCTATTCCAAAAATCATGTGTCGTGCAAGTAAGTCAACACGATCTATTGGTGATAGATATTGTATCTATTGCAAAAGTGTAGGCATTTTTGACAAACATTGTGAATGATTCAAGACTCTATTTAAATCATGCCAATGTCAGATTTAGATTAGTGTTTGAGAACTTAAAAAAATGAGTAAAGAGTGTGTTATCATCAACCAAAACCAAATTCATGATTTTACTTTCATTTCTATAATTTATTAAGAAAGTAAAAAAATGAATGATATTGATCTTGTATACATATGCATTATGGAATTTTAGCTAAATTTCAACTAGTAAGAAGTTCTATTTTTTGCTGTTTGAAAATAATTTCTTTTCTTCCCTAATGATCGCTATTTGTGATATTTTCTTTTTCGTTTAACTGCTTTCAAATAAGTAAACTCTTTTTTTTCATCAAATAAATAGAAAAGAAAAACATTGTTATTTAATTATTACGATCAATAGTCGGTAATTCTTTTTTCATTTCATAAATTTTATCTCTATAATATTGAACGAATATGTGAATTGTTTCGATGAATGATTGATCAACTTGTTCTTTCTTGATATTAACAGGTTGCTGTTGGATAATAAATTGTTTCAATAGAGAGATTTTTTTCTGAAGAGAATTTATTTGAACTCTATATCTCTCTAATTGTTGATACATTAAAATTTCTTCATCAGACATAACAGGTGTATGTTGTTCAATCACAGATAAAAGATCACCGAATTTTGCTGCAAGATCTTTTCGACGAGCATATTCCTATTAAAAAAGAATAAATCAAAACATTACATAATTGGAACGAGTCACTTTTATATGACTTTTTTAAACCAAATTCGTTGATATTAATAGTTTAGAATTTTCTTAAGTTCAATTTTATGAAAATCAGTTATTGAAATAAAATAACTTCGTTGGTATTTTTCTCTAGATGTCAATACAATTTATTATGATTATTTTCGTCGAGAACAAATTTTTAATAATTTAAACAATTTAATTTCAAATGACTCTTTATTAGAATTTTTTAATTTTCTTTTAAATAAGATTAAAGATTTTGAAAATCTACTTGAATAAGTTTGTTCACAAGAGAAAAACTCTAGAAGAAAAATATAGATTATTCTTGTTTTTATTTACTTGTTCATATTGTTGATTTAATATCTGAAATTTTTCTTGAACTTGTTCAAATTTTTGAGATATTTCTTGATTAGCAATTAATTGTGTTTGTTGAAAATCATATAAATAACGTTGTTTATTTTCTAATTCAATATGAAGTTTTTCTTGTTTTTCAATATATTGTTCAGAGATAATTGTTAAGAAATTAAAAAGATTTTTTTCAAAATCTGAATTAGAAATATTTTCAATTGACGATGATGTTGATATGGTTGTGTGTGGTAATGATTGATCCCGAATTAGAATCTTACGAATACGATCAAGATATTCAGATGATGAATTCGATTTATTTATTTGTTTTGTTTCATTCAAAGAAAGAGATTCAAAAAATGTTGAACTTGATGATGTTAAAGATAAAGAATTAGGACGAATGAGAATTAATTCCTAATTAAAAAAATAAAATGATAAATATATCAATAAAATTTAAAAAAAGGACCAAAACCTTTTCATGATTGTTTTTTGTTTTAGTAATAAAAGCTAGCCATTGTCCTTTAGTACTTGTTTGAATTAAACCAATTTGTTGAATGAAATCATTTGATTTAATTATATGTTGAACGTTTGTTGATTGAATTTTTTTTCCTTGATCTTGAATGTTATTATTCCAGAAAATTTCAATTGAATAAATATTTGATGACGAATCACAAACATAATAAACATTTGAATTAAGTTTATCAATAATCATCGATTTTATTATTTGATTATTTTCGTCTATTGGTAAACTAATAGAATCAATTGTAAATAAATAATATTGATCAATTGTGGGATTAAGAAAAACACATTCATATATTTGACATTTATCACGTGTAAATATAATTATTGGAAACGGTGAACAAGATAAACAAATCAGATTTGAATGAGTATGATCAGCACCATAATTATCATGTGTCGATGGAAGAATACGAATAGGATCACCAAATTCTGATGTTATTTCAATCTCACTAAAAACAATTGTTTTTCTTTTTACAAAATTGTATAAAAAAAAACTAATAATAACTAGAAGATTATCCTCAGTTAATAATAATCTATTCTGATTTGTTCTTGCTGAATTTTGAGACAATTCTACGTCTCTATGCTTCAGGGATGCTTTTCTTTTTGTAGAAAACCCCGAGCTACAAAACAGTAGATCTTATGAAGAAAAAAAAGTTTTTTCTTAAAGGGTTAATTCAAGAAAGAATAAAAAATAAGCCCATTACTAGCATGAAGTAATTAGCAAAGTCTCCAATTTCGTGGTATTCTCATTGAGCGAGGTGTGCTTATTTGCATGAAAGTTTAAAATTCCCTTGAAAGTCACCTTTAAATTCGAAAATACGTTTCTCCATTGGTTTTCAGATAAGATTATCACCTCGATTGAGTGCATACTGTAAAAATTTAGTGTGTACACAGTAGTACATGAAAAATTCAAACTCTTACCGATATATTTCTAACTGATTACTTTTGATTTTTTCCTATGACTAAAATCTTAATGAATATTGCATGAATTCCATTCAAAATTCTATGATTTTAGCGTTCCTACTTAATAATGCGCGAAATTTACTTGTTTAGTAATTGATTTTGATTAATTTCCAACATATAAATATCTCCATCAGCTTTCATAGCAAAAAGAAGAATTAATTTTAAATCTCCTTGTTTTCTTTTTGCTACATCAAGTTTGACAATATCCGATGATTGTCGAAGAGCAATTTTTTTATTAGGTGTTCCATTAGTTTTTCGGTCACCTATTGATGGTATACCAACAGAAAATGTTTGAACATGATTAATTCCGCCAGCTTTGGATGGAAGAATCTGATAAAGATGACATTCAGATGATGATGGAATCGAACAAACAATAGCAAAGTGAGTTGAAGACAACCAAATAAAATCAATTAGAATACTATCTACTGATGTTGAATTCGTTTTTAATGAAGGAATAACATTTGCAGGACATAAACGAGAACCTGAGTGAAAAATAAATGAACCAATTGATTTATATTTATATGTTCTAAATACCTTTTGATGGTGAATTTTTTGTTTGTGGCAAATAGACTAAATAGGCTGTTTTCTCAGCAATAAGAGCAAGAACTGTTTCATCTGGATTTAAAACCAATCGTCGAATAGACGATGTTGTTAATAAAGATAAGTGCAATCGGTCAATTAGTTGATCATTGGTATTATTGAATTCAATTAATGAACAAACAATAAGACTATTATTTAACGAATCATAACCAAAAAGAGACGATTCTCCAAATGTAAATATATCAACAGTTGGCAAGACTAGAGGAATACGAATTGGATTCGAAAAAGACATTTCATGAAATTTGATGAATTTCAAACTAGAATCATATTTTGTTTTTTGAAACAAGTAAAATAAGGATTACATGGACATGTACATAGAAGATAACTGAATTTTCATTCGATAAACCATCTGTTTAACAATAGATGCCGCTTTATTTATAGATAAAGTAAAAAATAGATAGATAGTTACAATGAAATCGTATGTGATCGAGTATAACAAAAAAAATCAGCTATACTAGGCGAAGCACTGTATATAGTATTTCTTCTTGAAAAATTATTATTCAAAACGATGAACTTAAAAGTAAAATTTCGTTTCATTTCGACATAATGAAAACAAACTAGTTAGTAACAAAGTGATAATTACAAACATATTTGATTATGTGGATATGAGTATAGAACCTACGTTGTTTGCGCTCACATCCGAACCCCACACTGTCATTTTTTCGTGTAAACCTTTCTTTTTATTTTCTCTTTCTTTCTTTCTTTCTTTCTTTTCGGTTTTTGTTATCTTCTAGACATAATTCATAATGGTTTACTGTTAATATTCAATTAAAATCTTACAGCATAGAATTTTCATATTTCTGTATCACGAATAATACAATCGATTAATCATAAACTAAAGAAAGAAGTATTGAAAGTACAATAATTCTATCGAGATGTATAATCAACTAGGGTATAATTGTAATATCTTAAACTATATATTAAAATTTTGTCTTTTTGAATCGTACATAAAGCATCACATGAGATCGAAGATGACAAATTGACAAAGATATTTTGCCCTGCTACCCTTTACGTAAAATAAATGATGTATTTATCGTGAGTCATGTTAATATTAAGGCTGACGAACAGATAAAAGCTTGTCTTCAATATTTAATAAGAGATGAAAACAATAAAAACAAGTTGTTTTATTTGTGTGCACATATAATTCATTATTTGAGATTAAATATTCATTTGTTATTCTAAAAAAAAAAATGAAAACTATGGTTAATTCAAATCAACCTTTGATATCAAACAATTTTGTCGCGTGTTATCCTGATTATTTTGTTATATTTTTATATTATTTTCCATTTGGGAAAAAGAAAATATATTATAATAAAATTCGTTCATGTGAATTACATTCAACAGATGATCTTGACTTTTTCGAACAAAAGTTATGGGGAATGGCTCTTTCACCTGTTTGGTGGCATTGTGATATGAAACGTCTTATGCGAAAAAATTATATTTTATTGGATGCAAATCAATGGCCTCTCATTGGTATAACAATGGATGATAAGGATATTATTGATATTTATAATTTTATTCGGCAAAAAATCTATTTCAATCAATCAAATTTCGCCAATGAAAAGTTAATTTATAATTCGTCAAAAACCACGTCTGAAAAAGAAATTGAAGATAAAAAATCTGCTGAAAACCTTAAAAATAAACAAATTTTTAGAGACAAATTAGATCAATGAAGAAAATATGATATAATAAAGTATTTTTTGCATATAACACTGTTTTCTAGTTAATACTTTATATAAATCTTTAAAATCATATCATTCAAAGAAATACAAATCAACCATTCTTTTTCAAACTATATTTTTCTAACTGACTAATATTTCTTTTAAAAATGACTGCTTTTTCAAGCTATTTATACTTATTTGTCAATAAAATTTTATCTACTTCCTAAAGAGATTTTAAAATAAATATTTATCACGAGCAACAGTTCATTTAGAAATTTTATCAATAGATATATAAAAGATTTTCTTTATAATATTGTCAACAAATCGAACATCGTTTATTGGTATTGATGAATTTTTATAATAAATAGATTTTTATCATCGATATGTAAAATTTAAAACACCAAGAATTAAACAGTTATATTCATTAATTAAATATTATGGAAATAAATTATTCTTCCTTTTTGTAGCCATATTATATAATACTAAACAGTGAAGAACATATGTGTTTAGTTTTTAACAGATTATTTGTCATTAGATAAAATCTTGATTTTATCAAAAACTAGAAAGTATTCGCTGATCAAAAGAAAACAATGAGTAGTTTTATAACGGGGAAGTGATTATACTGTTATGGAATAATAAATTTAGTAGGAAGTGATGTAAAAAAGATATCCACATATTAACTGTGATATTTTGACAAAACAAATGTTTTTATTGATCAGTTTTGTTTTTCGTTTGTTTCATGGTTAGAAACTTTCAGTATAAAAACACGAACTATCGTGACTTTTTTCTCATTCTTTTCTATGACCTGATTCATTGCTAAGAGAAAAACAAGTTCGATGACAAATAATCATATATTATATTAATCTTACTGTACTATTGGGTGCACACGTATTTTATTGTTAACAACAAAATATTATACCTGTCGTTTTAAATATATAAAATTAAAAATCATAATACTATTTTGTTTTAACATATTCAATTCTTTATATAAAATTGTTTCTATTTCTTTCTTCATGGTTCAAACCAATTTTTTCTCACCAATGAACGATCGTGTAAGTAGATGTTTAATATAAATATATTTGAAAACAAAAACTAGTTTTTGGCAATCATTTTTGAAGAAATAAAGCGATTTAAAATCATGCTACATAGATACAATTATATTGATTTAATAATGATAAAATTTTCTAAATATTCTGTTTCGAAACTAAGAAATACAAAATTACAAGTTTACTTTCTTTATTTCTTCAATATTCATATAACTTTGTATGAACTAAGGAGTAAATATGGTGACAATCTTTATCAACGCAAAGTGTCAATACGTAGCTTTAAGACAGAAGAATATACACCTGTAAAACTTTAATATACAGAATTTTTATTTTTTGTTGTCAGAAACAATATTCAAGTTTATAAAGGAAACGAGCAAATATTATATATTTTTTAAACACTAAAAGTGAAATAATTCATAGGAGGAACTAACTAACTAACATTTTAACAAAGCTTGATGTTTATTTTCAGATAATTTTCCAATTTATTATTAACACAAACAATGCCACTTCAAGTTGGTCAGCAAGCATCTGAATTTACGTTATACAATACAGACCGAAAAGAAGTTTCTCTTAAAGATTTAACATCCACATCGAATGTTGTTGTACTGTTTTTTCCATTGGCTTTTACTGGAGTATGTACACAAGAATTATGTTCTACAAGAGATGACATTAACAAATATCAAAAATTAAACGCGACAGTTGTTGCAATTTCTGTTGATTCGATGTTTACATTAGGCAAATTTCGTGAAGAACAAAAACTTCCATTCGATTTGTTATCCGATTTTAATAAAGAAGTTTCTCGAAAATATGATTCACTTTATGAAGAATTTCCATTATTTGGTCTTAAAGGTGTTACAAAACGAAGTGCTTTTGTTATTGATAAACATGGAATAATTAGATATGCTGAAATACTTGCTGATGCGACGAAACTTCCAGACTTTGTTAAAATTAAAGAAGCATTGGAACAATGTGAAAAATAAATTATCTTTACTGTTATTTTATACTGATCCAAAATATAAACTTAATTAAGTTCTATGACATATTTTTTTCATTATTTTGATCACTAGAGCTTTAAATAGAAAATCAAAAGATTTTAAATAAAAAACTCTATTCTAATATATTCCCAGGTCGAAGAATCTGACACAAGATCTTATGAAATACTTACAAGATCTTGGAATATGTGCGAAGTCTTACAAGAATCTGACAAAAAATCGTAGTCTCTGAGATCTTAGATCAAGTCTCACAATCAGATTCTTGAAAGATCGTACACATTGATATGATCCTTCAAGAATCTGATTCTGCGACTTGATCTAAGATCTCAGAGACTACGATTTTTGTACGATTTTTTGTGGGATCTTACACGATCATATAAGATCAGATGCAGAATCTTATCAGATCTTAACATCTGATTGTTTGCCCTGGGATCGTGTTTGGTATATTTATAATCGTAAGGCCACCCAGGTCGAGCAATCCGACAGTAGGCACCTATCGGAGCCCATCCGATCCGACTGGAATTCAATAGGATTGTATCGTATTGCAGGATATTTCCAGGTTCCTATCGGATCCGATGTCGGATCAGTCGACCTGGGCAGTAAAACATATCTCGTATGACTATTTTTTGTTACATTACTACCCAGGTTGATCAAAACGGACTCGTTTACGGTCTGTTTGTCGACGGTAAACGATGTCAAAACGGTATCTTTACGGCAGTAAATAGGCCATATTTGCCCGTAATACCTGGCGCAGTAATACGGCATCGTAAGCGGGACTGAATTTTCATGGTTTACGGCTGTTTGTGCTCCGTACTCTCATGATAATACGGTCCGTATTACTGCGCCAGATATTACGGCAAAATTTCGCCCGTAAAATAGTCGTAAAGTAACCGTCAATGGCCGTATGCGGACCGTACTGTTCGACCTGGGTAACTTTGAAACAGCAATTTTTAGACTCATGTTGGTGATATCGATAATCAATTATCAAAGACGCTATATAACGTATAATACCAGCAGAATTTGTCATCTTGACTATGGAATTTCCTATGGGAAAAAATAGATCATATAAAAATCAATTAAAAATACAGTATATCGCAATGTAATTATTAAGTTTAAAGCACGCTTTCCTACAATAAATAGAACATATGAGAATAGATTATGGCTTATCTTATTTTATTTATTTTTCTTATTATCAACCTATGACTGGATGTTTGATCATATTTCCCCACATCTAACAGTATCTAATTGAAAGTAAAACTTGAATGTCTGAAATCTGCCTGTGCTGAACAGTGGAAAATCACAATGACGACCTATTAACTCACGATCAGCTATTCAAGTGCTTTTCTATTCAACTCATCAGCTTGTATTCGATACGAACATGTATTAGCAGGAAGACTTGCTAAAATTTTGTAAGAAGTCGTTTGTGAAAATACTGTTCTTGATGAAGTACATTCGTATCTTACAAAAAAATTAATTCATTTAAATTGAAGTCTTCATAAATTGAACCTACCAACTCAAATGAGGAATTTCTCAGTGAGTTGATCAATCGTACGAGATACATTGTATAAAAAATAGAGTAGGATAGTAAACCATTGTCTTCCTACAAATCATGCTAAACCCTTAAAGGGTTTATGAAACGAAGGGTATATAAAGAAAGATGATATAAGAAGAAGGGTGTATGATTTTATCTCCCAGGATATTTTAATATGCGGTTTCGAGAAAAGAGTTTACTACTTTCTTAAAAAGGGTATTTTATTCTTCGTTCAAGGGATCACACTTTTTCAACTGATATATGTATACATATATGATGAAAAATTTTCACAGGGCACTTCAAACAGTTTAATATAATAAACATGTACACCCACACCCTTTTCTCACAATGCAGTCATTCATGCATCGATGCACTTTTTATTTCGTACCTGTTTCGTAAAGCATAACGGTATGATATAGAGACGCTAATTTCGCTAATAAATTTTGAATCATTTCGAGCTAAACTTCAACCCGCACAGTGTTTAAAAATCAAAATCAGACGGCTTCACGGGAGCAACTTCATACGAAAACTTTGAGGTAATTCAATCTGAAAGATATTATGGTGATTGCGGATTTATTCCAAACTCTCAGTGGTATTCAGAAAAAAAGTTTGTTTCTACATTCATCTAGGAGAACAAATTAAAGTAGGCATTTTACTTCAATATATTTATATTCTTCCTTTACTTGGTTGAAAATAGTGTAAGTAATAACATTTCAAAAATCATTTCAGATCTTTAATTTAAGTTCATCGCCACAACTAATGGAAAATAAGGGTGATTTACTTATATATTTATATCTTTTCTTTTATTTACTTCCATTCAAAATTCAAAATGAAAACGGAAGTATCAAAACTTTCTCTTTGATGATTTCCTTCCTTTTATTTCGGTCCATTGATACAATTTATTCAAATGAATATATCGTTTCACATATGCCTTTATAAATCTTATATTTTTCTACCTTCAGTTCAATGTCAAACAAATAAAGTAAGTATAAAAATATTTTATAAATAGCTATTTCTTTTTTTTTTCTATTTAGATTCGTCGAAACTATACATGGGAAAGAGCTATGAAGATCGATTTCCGACATATGGGACAACCCAGTCAGAGAAGCACACTAGTCGACGATCTTGACTTCGATCTGTCCAGATTCTTGTTTTCCTTGAATATCAGACAAGATTCTTTGTAATCATAATATTCAGACAAGATTCTTCGAGGCAGGAAAGAAACAAGATTCTTGTCTGTTATTCAAGAAAAACACAATCTTGTCTGATTGATCAGATAAATAAGAATCAGGCAAGAATGGCAAGATATTCAAGATTTTTTTAAATTCAGGCAAGAATCTTGTTTCTTTCCTTTCTCAAAGAATCTTGCCTGTTATTCAAGAAAAACACAATCTTGTCTGATTGATCGGATAAATAAGAATCACGCAAGAATTACAAGATATTTCAAATTTCTTGAAATTCAGACAAGCTTCTTTTTTCTTTTCTTTTCAACATATCTTAAAGAAAAATATCACGTGATGTCTGTGTATATATAGTTATAAATATACAGAAATTTGAACATTATATATTTTTTTCTAGATGACGCGCTGACGAACTATAACACATGTATTTTTTGAATAAATTCTTTTGTTCAATCGTTTTTCTTTTATTTTTTTTCTTCTTGATTTGTTTTACGCGATATGAATTTTTGTATGTTTCCTTGCACATATAATGTACTTTTTTTGTATTTTTTTTTAATTCGAAATTAAAATATAATAGGACCGAAAGGAGGCAACCGTATGGATGCCTAAATAAAATTTATCTGTATTACAAGGATTTTCTCAAAATAGCAAGAATTGTAAGAAAACAAGAATCATGCCAGAAAAGCAAGAAACAAGAATCATGTAAGAATTGCAAGAACACAAGAATCAGGCAAGAATACAAGAACACAAGAATCTTGCCTGGCGGGACATTTCTTGCCTCGCCAGCCAAGATTGTGTCTACACGAATCTTGCCAGAAAGTCAAGATCTGTTTTTTCAGACAAGAATCTTGTACAGAAGGAATGGCAAAAGAATCTTGTCTGATATTCAAGAAAAACAAGAACCTGGACAGATCGAAGTCAAGATCGTCGACTAGTGCACCTTAAAAAACGCGTTACAGCGAATACATTTTTTTGACGCTTTCATGTTGTAAGACGTTAAAACATCTTAAAATTTCGTAAAAACGCCGTATTTATGATTTCGTGTATTTGCATCTAGATTTAATAGGATTTCTTACGACCCACACCCTATACACCTCTCCAGATAAATATGTGCTATTTTTAACATATGTACTTATGAAGATTTTAAAAATTGATGAACAATTTTATAAAAGTATGAGAAATACATACGTTATAGATTTCTAGAAAAATAAGAAATATGTTAGAAAATTTTTGAAAAAATGGAACAAAACGTTTTAAAAACTTTTTAAAATTCTTTTTGAAGAAATATATTTCTAAAACAAATGTTTTCTAAGTTATTTAAATATTTAAAACACTAATTTTTATTTCCAAAGAAATAACTTTTTAAATGCAAAATATTTGTATTTTTTTCATGAAAATTAAAAATGTAATAACAATTGCTCCGCTTAACTTTATATCACTTTCAGTTCCCGATAAAATTTCGCTCGATTTAAGTAGCATTTCTTACTTCATCTTGTTATCGTATGACTGACTAAATGGATAACATCTTGAACTATCAACCAATTCATCTCATGATTGAACCTAGGACAACACAATAAGTTCCAAAACCTCAATTTTAATCTGGTAGATGAATTACAAAAAATACCTTGTGACGTGTATTGTGAACACAAACGAAAAAGAATCATATAGTGTACTCATTTGTTTTTGGATTTTTTTCTGAAAGGTTGTTAACGCGTTTTTAAGGCGCTTGTCTGAATGGGACAAAAGTAATAAACCCTTTAAGGGTATATTAATATACGTTTTCTTTTACAGTGTAATCACTTGAGAGATCTTCCATGGAGTGAAGTACTTTTTCAGACATATAAATGTCAGAAAAATCTAAATATCATATGGTCGTAATATTATTTTTTCAAACAGTTCATTCTAAAATTGATAAAATTGTTCACTGTACAATACATCTCATATGGAACAACTTCTGTAGCAGTCGCTTGTGACTTATGTGAACTTGGTCATATAGTATAAACATCGATTAAAATAATATAATCTAGTACAATATAAATTAGCATCAAGGTTTTTTTCTATACACTGTAAAAAATAGAATGCATATATGAATTCGGTGATGAATTTCTACTTTCTTGAAAATAAAATATTGATATTCAAGTTTGGATTTTATGCAGTAAATTAAATTGAATTTCTATTGGTTGGAAAATCAAGCATTTTTTAAATAATAGAAATTCGATGAATGAATCATAAAAGTTTGAAAATGCTGTAGCTTATTTAAAGTTGATTTTCTACAAAATAGAATTTAAAAAAAATGACAGTGTATATGAATCATATCTTTGAGAAAATCGAAATCTGACGAATGAAACTCTGGATGAAATACGTTAGTTCAACCAAGATATCTTGAATTTGCAATCAGTTATCAATTGAAGTTTTCGCATCGTTTTTTTTTCTTCAAGCAGAGACATGTTCAGAATGAAGACTGCACTATGTATATCGAATTCCTGAGGAAATTATCTCAGTTGCATTCGAATTTTGGACTTCATCAGTTACCTATCGGTAGGTTTGAACGAAATTATTGAAGTCAGAAGAAAACATTTATGTGTAGACTGACTGACCAATTGGTTCAATATATTGAAATAAATAAATAAAAGACAATAATAAAGTTTCACCGACGTGTGAAGTCAATCAAATTAAGAACAGAATTTATCTTATTTACATTTTTCATAAGATTTTGTAATGATGAAGAACATTGATCACATTTGAATATATATACATTATCTACAGTTACTTTGAATTATAATGGCCATTATTCTGTGTCATACCCCTAATTTCAGAAGTAGCTCGAAGTCAGCGCAGCTAGGATGCAGGATCAAGAATTGAAAAGAGCTACTACGAATTCTCACTAAAATGAATCGGCTTTAGGAGGCGAGTCCAGTGTCTGTTTCAGTATAGATGAGAAGAAAATCATAAAGACTAGAGTATCATTGAACATGAACGAAAAACTCTTCAATATAAGGCTTTACTCTCGAGTTCTTCGCTGGTCATTCGAGGAATGCCTCCATGTAATCAATATCTCATTATAAAGCTGGTAGACAGTTTTCTGTGTTTCACATCATATCGAATGTCTGATTCTTTCATCGTAGATAATGTGCCATTTCATTTTTCTATGATATCAGTATTTTCTGTCGTGAAGACGTCGATGGCTGTTCGTCAAACTCAATTTTTTATAAGTCAGGGTCTATTGTGGCATAGATCGTGTCACAATTGTTACTATTGTTACTATTGTTACTATTGTTTACAAGCTTTTTTTGCACCTGACCATTTCTCAGATACTTTCTATAATTCATAAAAGAAATCGATACTTAATTAGAGAAAGCAGGAGACACACATTAGCCTAAAGCCTATAGGATTCTTTTAAATATGAAAAATTCATGAAGTGAAATGTAGAAATGTATAGTAGAAGAAACGTATTCAGACGAAAAACTAATTTCATAGTTGAGCGAAAATTTGATCATGTTAAGCCGATCTTTTGTAACTGATTATGTCAGCATTGATATATTATTGCCGTGAGTTTAAATGCTTTATTGATACTTCGCTTTCGATTGCCTTCGTTATTGTTTTTCTTCTATGATGATATAGTAGAAAATTTTATCATTATAATGAAGCAGAAAATTGTTTTATTACACGAAGATTTTTTTCTCTTACTGATAAAATAAAGAACGAAAAGGAACAAACGAAGATAAAATCTTCACGTATGTATATTTACTCTAGTAATCTTTGCTAAGATAGAAAATAGAATGTGCTTGTTCTTTAGAGACATTTTAATGCTATTTTGAATTTAAAAAAAGTCAATTTTTTATATTTATATTGTAGTGAAACCATCATAGAATAATGCCAATTGAAATTGGAGAACAAGCACCTGATTTCACTTTATACAACACAGAACGAAAAGAAATCTCTCTTAAAGATTTATCATCCACATCGAATGTTGTTTTACTTTTTTTTCCATTGGCTTTTACTGGTACTTGTACGAAAGAATTATGTTCTACAAGAGATGAAATTAGTGAATATGAAAATTTAAATGCAACTGTTATTGCCATTTCAGTTGATTCACTTTTTTCTTTGGGAAAATTTCGTCAGGACAATGAACTTCCATTCGATTTGTTATCCGATTTTAATAAAGAAGTTTCTCGAAAATATGATTCACTTTATGAAGAATTTCCATTATTTGGTCTTAAAGGTGTTACAAAACGAAGTGCTTTTGTTATTGATAAACATGGAATAATTAGATATGCTGAAATACTTGCTGATGCGACGAAACTTCCAGACTTTGCTAAAATTAAAGAAGCCTTGGAAAGTTGCGACAAATCATAAGATTATTGCTTGCTCGTAGGATTTTGTTTATATTTTTTGTCTTTTATTATTAATTAATTGAAACCTATTGAACTAAATCCTTCTTTAATATCTTAAATATTGATTCGTTTTATTTAATTAAATAAAATTGACAAGGAAAAAAGTCCAAAAGCTTAGTGACGAAATTGCATATTGATATATTCGAGATTTTAAATGGTTTTCGTAATTTTGTGAAGAGAGACTATAACCTTATTGCAATGCAAATATATATGTTTATTCAATTTTTATCATTCCAGTATATCTGATTAAGTTCTTTCATGGTTCTTTTTTGTTGCACCTGATGCTTTTCGTATCACGCAATAATTCAAATAAGGGAAAAAATGACTTTTGTGAAAGCAACCTGAATAAAAAGAAGACTTACATCAAGAGCTAGATTCACTCACATAGAAATGTAAAATCATTATAAAGAAAAGTCAATTAAGTAATATTCACCTCTTTCAAAAGAAATCTTAAAAAACACGTGCGTTCAATTTTAGTATTTACCTAGGAATATTCTTGATCTTGTTTCTTGTCAGTTTTTCTGTTTTTTGCATGTTTTATTGGGAGCCCGAAATTTCGGCCCAAGGAATTTTCGGGCCGGACTTTCGGCCCATTATGAAATGAATATGAGGATGAGAATGATCCAGTTTTATGATAAAAAAAATTTAATTTGAGGCCGAAAGCCCGGCCCGAAAATTCCTTGGGCCGAAATTCATGTAACCCGTTTTATTACCATCTCATCATCTATAAAGAGGGCATTATATTGTACCTCGTTTTTTCGTTTATACGTGTCATCATACAGAAGTAAACAAACTTGGAATCCACAATCTTTGTTTAGATTTTCACCAGAAAAGTCTATCACTGAATTATAACATACTATGTGTAACTTCCATTGTCTAATTTAAAATTGTGAGAGATGCTGTTAACTTTAGTAAAGAACAAAGTCTCAAATGCTTGTTTTTAAACGTTCAAAGAGACTTTTAGAATTTTGTCAAGTTAATCTTTCTTCAAGAATAAAAATTGACATGAAATTTTTTGCCTTTAATAAGATTAAGCTAATCCATACTTTTCTTTCTATTCACGAAGAAATGACACTCTTTGCTATTTATCTTACATTTATACTGTGTTGATTTATTTTTAGTTAAAATTACAAACAACTTCGATTTTGATAGTGATACTTCAAATGAATGTGAGTTATTGTCGCTGGCAAACCTTTAAATATTGATTTCTGTATTAACGAATTTAGATATAATCCCTTCGTCTCTGTGAACCGTTTATCCTTGTAATGCTTTCTAAAATGTCGTTCTCAGTCTAATCTATTCAACATCTTGTTCAGTATAACGATTGTTGAAATCATCTCCAACATAACTGATACTTCGTTGTATCTACTTACTAATCAGTTCCAGGTCAACGAAAGGGATAGGTAAATTATCAAGAAAATTTAAGAGGTATCCCATGCCATCGAAATCGTCATACTCCAGGTCAATGATTCCGGAAGAGGGATACCGTAGGAGCCGGCCGAAAAAATGCGAAAAAACCATCGTATATGGCCGGAAAGCCAGGGAAAGTGCTGGAAAGCGGAAGCAGTATTCTGGCCGGAAATTGACGGATTTTTTTCCGGCGTATTCCGATCAACTTCCAGCCAGAAATCACAGGAAACTGACCGGAATCCACAGGAAAAAAATTCGGTAATTTCCGGCCGGAATACTGCTTCCAGTTTCCAGCTATTTCCGGTGCTTTCCGGCTGTTTTCCACCGTATCTCTACGAGCTGGGATATTGTCAAAACTGATGATTTGTTTTGTCAATTTTCCCAATCAGATCAAGATTCATCAAACAACGATACCGTTTTGACGAAACAGATAGATGGCATCCGATTGTTTATCATAAAACTTCTCCTATTCAAGTTCATTTGCTTTATATTTCTTGTTCTACAAAAAGAGTGGAATGAATAGCTAAAAATTGTAGTCTATAGAAAAAGTGCGGATAACAGAGCCAAATAGCTTGAGCATGGAGACAGATAGAGCTGCTAATATAGCGTGGCGACAAGACGACGGATCTTATTTGATTTCCCATAATATTACCCATTGTTAATAGTTAAGTGAAAATTGACAATTCATCGCGATAAAATTTCACGATGAATCGTCTAAACTGCAGCGATTTCGAGGACATGGAATATTTTTAAATAGAATGCATAAACAGTATAACGAGCACTAATACGAGTAGTCTATTACTATCTTTGTAGAAAGCTGTTAGCGCAATTCATGTGTGATTAAAATGTGAAACACGATTAAATTCCTTTTCTGGAACCGCTCTATTATGGTCTGTGAGTCTTTGCAGCTGCTCTGTCACTGTCTGTAATGATCTGTGAAGCTTTTCTGTCACAACTTATATTCTGATATATGGAGTCTCTAGAGACCACCACACACCATGACCGAGAAATTTGTTGATTTCTCTGTCACGGCCTGGTGGGCCGAAATTTCTACCCTATATACTTCAACACTCCTTTTAAATCGTGCTTCACAAAATGGAAGCAACACTTCATGGTATTTGATCGAAATATAGCAAATAGAGATTTCACACCTTTTGTTTAACTAGAGTGAACTTTTTTTTTTATAAATGTCGCGTACAATGGGGCTCCTAATAAATTGAGACTAAACATCAACCTACTAGCAAGACCTATTATATATTTACGTTCCTTTACTTTTGCATCAAACTTCATTATAACGCTGTCAATCGGCGTTGCCAAATGTAAGAGCTTATACGGTATTTGTTGAAGCAAACGAGTAAGAATTCAAAGATATTTATTTAAAGAGTTCTTGAATGAGACTAATAATGAATCCAATGATATATGTATAGTAGACAAAAAAGAAAATGAACATAGAAACAAAATTACAAAGAGACATGTGGCTTTTAGCTACGCAGGACGATGGATACAGCTATCCGTATCTTTGCCGTAACATTGCCGAATATGACCGTTTACACGCCGTATGAAGCTACAAACAGCCTGGCATGTTTCGTAATTTTGAGCTCAGCAATAGGATACTTTATTATCAATATATACGCCCATAACCTCAGTGAAACACGGACCGTGTACTTTCACCTGGGTAGCCTTATAAACAGTAAAATCTCTGACGAATGATAGAAGAATTCACTATTCAAGAATATAGCTTAAAAGTAAAAAGCTAAATTGACAATCGATACTTCATTAAGATATTCTGAGAAAACTTTAAGAAAACATAAAACTGTCCTTTTTGCTTGTTTTGCATATCCATTAAATCGTCCCGTATAATCATGAAGTACCAGATCGACTTCAGATTTTGACATTGGTATCTCTTTATGAAGCTTTGGCACACGAGCATCTGAAACTCTTTTTATTTATCCTGTCAGATCTGAAACTGACCAATTAGCATCATGTTATCCAATAAAATTTGGTGATTCTCAATATTATTCGGCTATTTGTAAGAAAGCGGTATATTTATCACGCGCAGCTCGATATGACAGATTTTGTTTCAAAATTTCCACAAGTTTGCTTCACAGTTGAAATATAAGATTTCCCATTTTAATAATCCAGTACTATTGATTTCAAATTTTTTCAAAGACGAAACACATGAATCCGTTTTTTAATAGCTGATGTTATTTTTCTCGATTATTAAACAACTGAGAACTTGTTTTCTTTGTTTACCTTAATGTCGATAAATACATGTCATCTAATATTTCTTTTCACAATAGAATTTCAAATTCATCAAAAATTTCGTTTAATAATTCTTCATTTGTCATTTTACTGATCTTCTTCTAAAGTTGATATCATCGATGCGCTTGTTTCTATGTGGTTTACTTTTTTTTCTAAGTTAATCATGCATCTTCAGAGTTCACATTGGTATGCAATTGAATCATCCTCATTATATTGACATAGAAGTGACTCAATTTGTTTTTTGTCATAGAAAAGTGAGAGGCAATATCTTGAAATTTTCTTAATTTTGCCTAGACATAAAAAGAAAAAAATGAAAAAAGATTTTTGTAGAAAAAAAAGAGGCTTGAATTTTTCATTAAAGTATATTCCGTAATCCTTCTTTCAGAGTTAATACACGAGAAGAAATTTTAGAAGTAAAAGTTAGCGTGTATATAATGTATGGCATATAATATTGTATTCGAAAACTCTACTCTTTTCGTACTTTGATCACACTAATTACTACCAATCAGAGATAGGGCCTGTACCAGTTACAGGTCGGTAGCTAGCTGGTATACCATGTTTCATTACTTTAGTTAATTAAATATATTTATTCAAAATTTCGTGCTCACAAAATGGTAAAAAAACAGTTTATTGATGATTTTTTCTAGTATCAACGACCCATAGATAAATTAAACAGTTGTTAGTAGACCAGTTGGTATTGATCATCAAAAATTCAGACAGATTCCATCTGTGCTACCTATATAGCTGCACAAACTGTTTGAATCTAATTAAACTACGATAGTATCGTTTTGAATTTAAATCTTCTCTGATATATCTCAAATATTTGCATGTACATTCACCAATACTACTAGAGCGTGAAGTGTTACATGTTTGATATCGCGTTTCATTATCCAACGACGAGAGAAATCATTATTATGGAAAACGTAGTCAAACACTTCTGTTAGGGTTTCTCTTTCCCTTCCTTTCTTCTATCGATATAGGTATATGTGCTGATGATCTATATGCACGAACTTTATTATATTTATGTAAACAAAAACATTACATATATATATATATATAGAACGCAAGAAAATAGAGTATAAATAATAATGAAAGGAGATGAAAGAAGATAGAGGATTACATGAAATAGGAATGATGTCAACTGGCGACATCACCTTAACAACTTCTTATCGTACAACTAGTGACTTGGCACAATTTTAAGGTAGATTTGACCATAAAAAATAATCAAATACCCATAGAACTTTATGCATGATATACTTTGCCTTGTTGGTCGCCAGTCTTCTACTGTGACAATGTGCATGTGCATCAAACCATATTCTTAAGCTTGTCTCAGACCCAAACGGTACGGCGGAAACTATTAGTTCCGGTGAAATTCGGGCAAAAACATGAAAGCAGTATTCCGGGACCAGTTACGGCTACCGTTTCCGGCTTCTTCCCTGATGATTCCTGCGACCAGATGAAATGTCAGGATTCCGCTACCATTTCCGGCAAGGTTCCTGATAAGGGTTCCGACGCCTTTTCACGGGAGCAAGATCCGAACTATATTCCTTCCTTTTCCGATTCGGTTGCAACTCCCAGATCCGACCGTTTTTATTTTCTTTCAGACGGTTTAATCCCGCAACCGGAAACGATAGGATCTATTCGAAAACGTATTCCTTATAACTACATGACTTTAATACCTTACAATCGACAAATTGGATCGCTCTCTCAAAAGAATCTCTAGAATACAATTGTACATTCAATGTTCAAATGTATGGAATATTAAGAAAAAGTTACAATTTCATACAAGCATCGATAAAGATTTTGGCTCTCTTCAAAACATTGGACTAGATTGGACATGATAGTCATTCTTAAAGTCGTTTTAAGGAGTACGAATTTAACAGCAGTGTGAGAACAAGCAGACTGGATGCAAAATACCGCGTAAGAGATTGCACAACTCACAACCCACTGCTGAGAACAATAGTTGAGTAGAGACCACGATTGACTATTGAATTGTGTCTTCAAATTGGAAGATATTATTTAACTCAGATAATCCCACGCGACAATGCACGATAACTAGCTAAGCGGAACCATTGCTGAGCTGATTTAAATTAATTTAATTGGCAGAGTTCAAAAACATCTGATACAAAAAAACCGACACCATAAAAAGCAATAAATTACACATCCATCTCTGGAAAGTCTATAAACCGACAAAATACTCAAATGTTATCATTTTATAGGTCTTCAAGCACATCTGTCACAGATACGAACGGAAGGTGACAGGCAGGCACCGAAGCGGAAAGGCCGTTCTCTCCGAATCCAACCGAGTTAGATATGTCAAAAACTAGAGCGCTCAAAAAAGAATGTATCAAAATACTAAAACAGTCTTCAGACTGCATAGCAGCCGACCTTCACCTATATATATATATATATATATATATGCGTGTTCGCACTGAGAAGTTCATTCACTCGTTCTTGCAGCTACTAGTAAAGTGCCTTCAAGATTACCTGAGACTCTTCAAACTGACCTAGCGATACATGAATACCCTGCAGGTCACCAATCTATCCACATGAGTGAGCATTCAAAGCTCCAACCCCAGATGCGCAACACACCTGTTCAGGTAAGTCACAGGTAACACTTCGCATACTTTTTTTTATACAAAAACTTTCTCAAATCATTCCAACTCCATTTCTAATATTAATCGATACTAATTAAAAACAAGAATCGGCATAGGGCTTTGGGCTTATTATAGATCTTCCTTGAGCAACATTTACAATCAGTGTCGTACTCTCCATCAACAGAATATCATCTAATTAAGGTAAATAGAGCAAATCATCTTCAAAGATCTTTATGAGTAAAATCATGATCTCGGGCTTAAATCAAGCTCGAATTGCAGTGTTTCTTCGCAGAAAGATCTTAGAATATGATTTTCTATCGATCTGGATCTTCTAATCACAGAAATGCCCTATGACTAAGGTAGTTACAATAAAGATCTCTAGTGATCTTCATAGATCTTTCATATTTGTTTCAGGATGCAGAATCGTGGGTTCCGTTGGGCTTCCGGTTTCTCCCATCAGTATCCTTTGCTTTTCTGTTTTGGATGTGAAGTTTTCCGCTGGTATTCCTGGTTTCCTCCTCCCTGTTTCTCTAGGATCATTGTACGTTCCTTAGAATTTCCTATGACTGGATTTGGGAGGAAGTTAAGGGTTCAGGGTACGGTTTTTTTTCCGGTTGGAATACTGCTTCCACTTCCTATTGTTTTTCCTGCAGGATCCAGTGGGAAAGACTAGGGAACCGGTGGGAAATCACCGGTCTCCAGACGTTTCCAGGCCGGTTCTGGAAGGATCTGGAGACCGGAATCATCGACCTGGGGTGTGATGCTTGGTCAGTGAACAATTTAAAGATGAAAAATTTCTGTAAGACGGTTGAACTGGTCTCTTGTTATTATAACAGCAGCCATTTTGTTTTGGTTTCGTAGTGCGAGATATATGTATTGCTTGTGCAAATTCTTTCGATAGCGATAAGACTAAAATTTGTTAGAACTCGTTTAGTAGCGATTACATTTTGAGTAACTTCAGTTTTAATTCATGTATATGACCATTTTAGATGCTTTGAGTTCCTCTACTGTTCACTCAGTTTATAGCTTTCTAAAGTTCCTAGAGTTTCATCAGATTCTTGAGTGACTTTGATTCTGCCATAATGCAATTAACAACTTTTGGTTATCTTGTTTCTTTCTAGACTCAGAGTTTCCCAATAGGTTAAATTGCCTGCTACGCAGATACGCCTCTATTTTTGACTTACTTCTGTGTTGAATTTTTTAATCAATATATCATTTTGAATTTTGTTTTCTTTTTACTCTATCGAAACAAATAGTTTAGAAGGAGTCTTTTGCGAAATTGCCATGATTGCATTCTGTATAATTATCGTAAGACCTTTTAAAGTTCAGCAATTCTGAATTCAGTACAAGCTAGCATTGCAATACAGTGTGATAGGAAATTTATTGTTTAAGAATCAAAAGATTTTCTTAGGATAGTAAAAATAGCAGTATCTTTTAAATCTGTGGATAAGAAATCTTATAGCTATTAAAGAAGAAATAATATTATCATACTATTGGTTGAAGGCAGACAAAAATTGAAATGGTAAATCATCAACGATAAATCCGATTTACTCTATAAGATCTTGGGTGAATAAAACGTGAAGATCTAACATTTGCACGCTGAAAAGGACTTGCTGGTATTCGAAGTTGAATTTCTTGTCCTAAAGTTTGTCTTAGTGGTAGGTAGAGTGGTTGAAGTTTTGGAGCTTGATGTTTAGCACAAAAATTTGGTATTGTCCAACATATCATACAAGAAAGACACGATAAAAAAAGAAAAGTAAGTCCAAATATTCCAACTAATAAACCACTAAGAGCAAACTCAATTCCTTGCTCTTTATTTCTATTTTTTTTATCAGATAAAATTGGATCTTTTAAATAGCGATCAAGAACAATAATTGATGTTAATAAACCAAAAAGACAAAGTACAATGGCTACAATTGTATACGGAAGTAATATATGAAATGCAGCATGGGATTTTTCTTTAACAGCAACTAATGTAAAAATGCCGACAGCTGTGACATAGAAACCGATCCAAATACCTTTTCCAGTACTTGGCCAAATTGATTGTTCAGATAGTTTTACTATTGCTGTTAATTTACTCAAATCTGCAGCTGACATTCCAATTAAACATAAACCAAGAAAAATAATTAACCGACCAAGGCTTTTATTTGAATCTAATTTTCGACTATCACTAATAGAAGAGAATACACGTATACCATAATAACTAAAATAATAAATAATGATATAAATAGGTTCAATTTGGTTTTTATTTTACCGAAGTTCAACAACTTGATTTTCATCAAAAACATAGGGTCGAATTTCAGTCATAGCCACTGTTATATTTTAGTAAAAATGCATTAAATAGATTTACTGTTTTTCATTTTTACTTCTTTTTAATTATTCATGCGGAACGAAAATCACATGTCCTGATCGAAATATTTGACAACACATAAAATGCACAAACTAATTGACAGAAAGATAAATTATAAATATTTGATTTTTCTAGATCTTCTTTTGACTATCATAGTCGAAACAATAATACAATCTATTTTATACTACTTTAATTAATAAGGTTTCGTACTAGACTAAGGAAATGAGTGTGAGGAATCAGTATAAAGAGTGTAACTGTATAATAAAAATGAAGCAACAATTTAGACTCTTGTCGGATGAAGATGCGTCTATGTGTTAGCATTGACTTTGAAATTAATATTTCGTGACATGATTGTTCCTTCATTTCGTTACAAAAAAAAAGAATTTCAAAAGAAAATGCTTCTCTTCTGTTTTTTTATTGAAACTATCTGAAATAAAATAGTTAATGTGTAGCTGTAGATGGGTGAGTGAAGGACAACTATAAACACGTTGATAAACAATCTCTACATCATTGACACTTCGTAAATAATTACTCCAAGATGAATACTTTTCATCTGTTATACTATTTATCGTTTACTACATGATTAAAATAAAATGTAACACTTTTCAATTCAAAAACTCACTTATGATCACGAATATCTTATTCACAATTACAAACAAATGTACCATATTAACACGAAAAAATGATCATGAAGTTCAAGTGTAGTTGAATATATTTTTGTTAATTTGAAAAACATATTCAACAAATCAGAAGAACATAAATCAATTGGATAGATAGATAAATGCATGAAAATTTTGAAAAACTAAAATAGGAGAAATCCAGCAAAACTTCCTCAAATGATACTTATCATTGCTATTGATTATATGACTCAGAGCTCGGACGAAAGTATTTGTACTCGTACTTTTTGTACTTTTTCGAGTATAAGTACAAGTAACAAATACTTGGTACAAAATTCAAGTACAAGTATAAGTACTCATCAGATGGATTTGG